GGGGGGGGGGAGGAGGAGGAGGAGGTGGAGGCTGGCCGTGTCCTGTGCAGAATGCATGCTAACCTTAGTGCGCGGATAATTGCATCGGCGTCCGTCTTGGTCTTGGTATTTCTGTTTTGGGGGCGGAGCACAAATGCTTGTCTCGGGAATCGGGCAAGTTGGTGATGATGCCCTTTTTTTTTTTTTGTTTCTATGGTGTTTTTTTTGTTTTTTGTGCACAAACGCTGTGGCGCTGCGCACGTTTCCCATTGACAGCCTGCTACTGAGCGGTGCCGGTGTGCCGAGAGTCAGAGCAGAGCACCTGGTCCTTCCAGTGGCCGCTCAGGGTCTCGACCGTTCGGTCAAGGCGCAATTTCTATAGCGCTGCGCCTCGTCCGTGGTGTTGATTGGTAAAGAAACTCTTTGTAAATTTCTCCTTTCTTTGTATTTTCTTTCTTTCGTACCACAAGTAGCGGAATATACACAATAGAATAAACCCAAAACACGCATCTTTTCAGTACAAACACACCTTCATCTATCAGCCTGGCAGCCAGCCATGCCCACAGCCACCACCGCCAACATCGCCAATCTTGGCCCCCTAACAACCGTCTTCCCAACACCCGCCGCGTCTTGTACACAACTTGCGTCCAATGGCGCAAACGGCATGGTCATCATCACCGGCACGCAGAGCGGAAAGGCCGTGAGCTCGGATTACCAGTACATTGGCTGCGGCCTGCCCACTGTCGGCACCTGCCAGCCCAGCGGCGTCCAGCGCGATCAGGTCGAAGGCCGCAAGGACAACTCCTTCTTCCAGTCGGCCGCCTACTTCTCGCCGGGTGTCGAATGTCCTCAGGCGTGGACAACGGCGCTCACTGTCAACGATTTCGACGGCAACAATGACTCCATGCAGCGCTTCCTGAGCGGCGCCTCGGACCGCGACATCATGCGCTTCCTCAACCATGTTGGCTGGACCGACAAGGACGAGATGATGGCCATTTGCTGCCCCAAGTGCGTTTTTTTCTTCCTCTTCGCATAATGACTGCTTTTTCCGTTCAAGTGCCTATGCTAACCCTGCGTCTTTTCAGAGGCTTCCAGCTGAAAATGTATGACGGCCTCCAGTGCCTCTCCAGCGTCGCCCCCGAATCCAAATACTCCTACACCCAGGCCTGCGAGCCCGACTTTCAAAACTTCCCTACAACTGTCAAGAACGGCCAGACCATCATCGACTTTGCCGCCGCCGCCGCCAAGACGTACCCTCTCACCCACGTGCCTCTCACCACCGCCCCTCCCGATCTCACAAGCGCTGTCGCCAACATGCATGTCTCAGTGGCGCCCATCACACTTGTCCGCAAAGACACCGACCCAAGACCAGCGGGCAGAGGCCCCAAGCCTGCCGATAAGGACTCCAAGGTCAACGGTAACAGCAATACCGGCGATGGCAAGGACAATGGTAAGGAGGACGCCGCTGCAGGCTTCCGGCCAAGCCTCTGGAGTGTCTTGTTGGGCGCTTCTATCGCCATGGGCCTTGCTGCTGGTGCTGTATAATTGATATTGCTCGGTTCTTCGGTCTTGCACTTTTCACCATACCTCTGGACAAGCAATATGTCCCTTGCACTTTCTGTACATTTTCCTCGGGTTTTATTTTATTTTCCATAGATGTATTTAGCGACAGCGAGCAGGCTATCTTTTTTGTTTTCGTTCTTATAGACTAAACTTGGGCTATATAGATCTTATTTACCCTCTTCTGGATATACATAATAGGTAACAAAAGAATATACCATTTTTTGCAACTTCATTCGCTCATTCTAGTCGAGATGAACAACACAAAACACATGAACCGACATCAAAAAGAAAAGATATACAAACAAATGCGAAGCCCGTTTTGCTACTATTGAGAGCCTGGAGTCCTCGGTGAGGTAAAGATCTTGAGAAATGCCAAAATCGTTGCAACAAGATCAGCTGGCAAGAATTTGACCTGAGACGCATCCAACAAAGTGGTAGGATATGTTGTCTTGTTGCAGCCGCTTTGGGGCTTGCCTTCCAGACGATCTCGGAGCCAGGCAGCAGCTCTCAGCGAGCCAGCGAGCAATTCAGTCTCATGGTTACCAATTGCACTGCGCACATACTCGATGCTGACGCCCTTGGCGCACTGATCATCGTAATACTGGTCGGAATCTGCGACTGGTGAAACCTCATCTTGCACAGCCTTGTAGATAAATAGCGGAACCTGTGGCGTACCCATCTGGCCAAGGTCATTATCGCGAAACGCTCCGCTAATATACTTGTTGGCAAAGATGTCGGGCGTGTCAAAGTACGTTCGGAAGTCTGTGAGGGCAAACTCTTTGTTGAGTGAGCCGAGGCAGAGCGCATCTGCCTTGTCAAACTTGGCTTTAAAGTCTGGCTTGATCAGGCGGTCCAGTTCCTCTGCCACCTCTGGGTATTGCGTCGCCATGCCCTTGAACGCTGCAGGGATCAAGCCGGCCGCAAGACTGCCATTGTCAACGGCAGCCGAGTTGGCGATGCTGGGGACCAGGCCACCCAGCGCAGCGCCGACAATCTTGACCTCGGGTGCATACGTTGGCTGCATCTCTGTCGCCCACTCGCTCACCACACTGCCCCCAGAGTATCCCCAGAGGGCTACGGCGGCATCGGGCTCGATGCACGTTAAATGCATCGACTGGAGAGCCGCTCGGATGCCATCCAGCGTTGCTTGAGCACCGGCTTTGCTGACGAGGAACGACGCCTCAGGGCCTTCGTGGTCTGGGATGATCACGATCCATCCCTGTTCAAGCGCAGCTTCAATGAAGAGTCCCTCCAATTGCGTTGTTGTTGTGCCGTTGGTAATGGCGGCTTCGGTTCCCTTTTGATACACGTACGACGGAGCGCAGTTTACGTACGCGGCGTCCTCGGCAATCTGATAGGAAACCACTTTGGAGAAATCCGGGTTTGGCGGCACCAAAACGGTGAGAACAGTTGCTGTTGGCGTACCGAAGCGGTCAGCGGTTCGGTACAGAATCTGATGAGCCGACTCAACAGAGTATGGGCGTGCGGTAAACAGAATTGGCGCTGTCGGCGTGCGGTGGCGGATAATAGCCCCTGGGGAAAAGTATTCGATATTTTGAGGAATGCCGTAAAACGGATCTTGGCTGGGTGGCAGAGGTGCGGTTCTGTTGTTGCTGCTGTTCTCATCAAGTGGTAGCGCTAGCGTTGAAAGGGTAAATAGGGCCAGCACAGCAGCTACGACGAGCTGTAGGCGCGCTGGGACAGCCATAGCTACGACGTAGACGAGATGCTGTTCAAAGCTGTGGGAGAGGAAAAAAAATTAAAGAAAAACAAAAGAGCAGCCCTTCATAACTCGATAACTGACATTGCGCCGCCAGGACCCGGATTGGGTTACCTTCGGGGCAATTACACCGCGAATAGCGGGCGCGCTAAGAGCCGATCATTTTTGACAAGGTTTGGACTACTACGTCACGTCCCAAACAGCGGGGGGGGGGGATCATATTAGTTGGGAAACGCATTCAGATTTCAAGACGTTTTGGCTAGCTTGGAGGGTGTCTAATTGGCAGCCACTTTTAACTCAGGCGGGCTGCCGTGCTTGCCGTTGGCGGTAAAATACAGCCTCTAGGCAATGTAAGGGGGATCGTGTAATTAAGTTAGATGGGCCAGTTAGATGAGCCATAGCGCAGGTTGAAGGGCTGAGACAGAGGCGAGGCTAGCGAGCAAGGGAGCCCGCCTAAGGAACGATTCAAAGTGCTCGTCTGTGCCTTGAGACCAAGCGATATAGTGAGGGCACTGGAGAAGAACCTCTAAACTTTCATCCTATCTTGCTATACATTTGTTACATACAATAGGACTTGTTTGATGTGAGATTTTTAAATTGATCTAGTGGAAAGCTACCCAAACAAAAGGAAAATTACGAAAAAGACTATATACATATACTGTTAAACATTCCATAAAACGCCCGTATACCTTGTTTAAATAGGAACCATCTCCACCATGGACTGGCCGCTGCGCTTGTCGGTTGAGACGCTGGTAACCTTGAGTCCGGCCTTGGCCGCCATCTCCTCAAACATGGCTCGTGTTCTGCGCTTGCCACCAAGGTTCATCATCCAGATATCCATGGCAACCAACTCCATGGTAGGGTTATCAGGGAGCAGCTGCTCTGAGATGATGACTGTAGAGTCGGGAGCACAAGCATCGGCAACATGCTTCAGGATGACGAGGGCATCATTGTCAGACCAGTCATTGAGGACTCTGCGGATCTGGTATACAAGGGCGCCTAGAAAAAAGAAAGCTGTCAGTATTTTACACTCCAAGACGATGAAAAAAAAGAAACGAATACATACCCTTGATCAACTGGGGCTCGAAAAAGCTCGACACAACCTTGGTGACGCTGCGCATAGTCTCATGGTCCTCAGCAATGGACTCGTTAATCGCTCTGGCCTGATCCTGAAGGACGCATCGACCACGGGGAATATCGGGGTTCTCCTCTAGCACTGCACGCAGAGCCTGGCCCTTGCCGCCTCCAACATCGACAAAGACGGTGCGCGAAGGATCGGCCTTGATACTTTCGTGCTTGCCGATCCAGCTGAAGTCGTAGTAGCCAAGAATGGGCATCTCGTCAATGTTCTCAGCCATGGTGGCATTGAAGACAGCAACCTTCTTTCCGGGCAGAAGAGGCATGATTTCGTAGAGCGACTTGTCGGGGTAGCCTGTGAAAAGGCCGAGGGGTGTGCGCTGCGAGGACTGTGGCTCCTTGAAGCCGTTGTCGTCAAAGTACTCGGACCAGCGGGTGGCGGGGCCCATGAAGTGATCAAACAGATGCATCAGGAACATCTTGGCCTTGGGGTGGACAAACACGGTGGACTTGAAGGTGTGACCAACGTGGCCGGGAGCAGGGCTGGTGAGGACCTCAGCAGTGACAAGGAACTTGATGAAGCGCTGGAGAAGGGCGAGTTCGGAGTTAGTCTTTTCAGCGAGCTCTTCGATAGAAACCTGGCCTTCCAAGGGAATGGCATCGAGAACACCACGCTCTACCAGTGTGCGGACGATACTCAGCTCCACCATGAAGTAGAAGTATTTGTGGACGGGGGTGATGGTGAGCTCGTCCTCGGGGGATTCTTCCGCATGTTGAGTCTCCGGGACGGCCTGGGGAGGAGGAGGAGCAGTGGTGGTAGAGATTTTGGTAGCCATTGCGTTAAGCTGACTGGTAGAGGGAGAGAGCGAGTGTGTGTGTGTGTGTTGTAGAAGTAGGAGAGGGTGTTGGGAGTGGTATTTCTGTTGAAATTGAGTGTTGTAGTTCTTGTTGTTGTACTTGTTGTTCGTTATGGATAGTAATATAGTTGTGCTGGGAGGATATAGGACGGATTATATAGATGTAAGATAGTCACACATATGTTGATACAGAACCGAGGAGAGCTGACAGAGTGCCGAGGACAACAAGACTCACTGCGTACGCCAGCTGAAAGCGCCAAAAGCATGGCAGGATTCTTACTGAAAGAGCTTCTGTATTACTGTATTGAACGGCGGATAGTGGATATGGCAGTATGCTTACCGCATCGGGGCATTTACAGCCATGCAATAGAAAACTTACACACCCGTCAAGCGTAGCGAAAGCCCACGCGGCAAAAACGTGGACAGTAGCAGTCACAGTAGGAGTTTCCCCTGCACGGCGGGGACCATTAGCCTTGGACGGATAAAGCAGATACGATGATCAGCATCGGAGGAATTCGACAACCGGCTGACACACACACAAGAGCAGAATCCCCATTTCACATCTTATTCCCCATTCAGGAGCCGCTCTAGCGCCGCCGTCGACAGGGGACGTCTCGCATAGGGGAGGGTAATAACAGACATGAATAAGAAGCTGACACAGCAGCAGCAGCCCTGGCCGGGTTTCGGACCCGAGACGTCTATATTGCTGACCTGGGAGATACCCGAAAAATACGCTGGAGGAGCAGGAGGCCCGCCTCGTCCAATATCTGACCTGCAGCCAGCAGCAAGTATCTCGTCAGCGCTACTCGACAGCCTCACCTGGGCAGCGAGGGTACCGTGGGGGAGGGGGACGCACTGGCCTCGGCATGCCTCAAACAGCAATCGCTAGACTGTAATTCGGACATATTCTGGAAACTATTCTGCCTCCAATCTCCTCGGATCTGGCGCCCGTCACCTCGGCTACGGACTTGGGGTTACCGTTGCAAGCTGACGGCCTACATCGCCCCATGGGGGTCAAAACGGGCAGAAGCGCTACTGCGAAAGACAGGCCAAGGTATCTATTAAAAGAAAAGTGTTTGCCACTTTGGAATTTTGTTTTTTTATTCTTTCCACTGTTTGGCACGATGGAGAAAAATGGCATTCAACTTTTGTACTGTGCGTTGGTTCGGGGACATAAGCGATGGGATGAATTCACCAATCCCGTGTATCAAGTCCGCTTACGGCTTGCCCAAACGCGACGATCAAACTGTCAGAACGATAAAAGAATGAACGAAAAGAGTGAAAGAAGGAAAATGTCGATCTATGCTATTTATGCTTTACTGTATATGCCCATGACAGAGCCAAGAAAAGATTGACATCGAAAATGGTGACTAAGGTCAGACGCCTCTCACTCTTGTGGCTTGTTCCTGGGATTATGCTTATCTTGGAAGAGGCAGCCCAAGCCGCCCATCGCTGCTATACGCCATGTTTCACACAGAAGTATACTAGTAGTACACAGTGTAGAGCCTACAGAGAGAGCCCATGCGGCTTACATCTGCCATCCCGTTATGGCGCCCAGCGCTGCAGCAGCCATGATGGGAATACCAGCATACGCCCAGGCACTAGGCCGAGCAGTAGAGCCAGCACCACCCGCATCGTCTCCTTTGGTGTCGTTTTGACTACCCTGGTCGCCGTGCCTTTCCATATCCTCCTTAGTATGCACCAGAATAATGAGCGGACGCTCGTCAAAGACTTGGGCATCGCCACTGAACTGATCTGGCTCACTACCAAATTCTGTCATATATGTGGATGGATTCAGCGCCGCACTGATATACCGCGTGTCATAGTTTGGCGCACCCGTTTCTTTTGGGTGAACCTCGATCTTGGTCGTTCCATCTCTAGTGACCGTGGCCACGTTGGGCGTCACGCGAGGCGCCGAGCAGACGGTCGTGTAAGACTCTACAGGTATCGACATGGTGGATGAGGCGACTCCGGGGATAAACGGATGAGCCGTGTATCCGGAAGGGACACAGATAACCATGGTTTCTTCTGGCGACAAGAACTCGCGGGCGAACCAGTTGAGGCCCACACCTGATGCTTCAGCAAACGTTCGCGTCTGCGTGAAGATGCCCGACGCAGAGCTCGCTGCCTTGACGCCCGCTGTTGTGTAGCCCACCGGACAGTGGACACCAGGAGAGTAGTAATTGTATGCAAGTGTTTGTCCGTATGTGTGGCTCTTCTGCCAGCCCTCCGCCGACGGGAGACATTGGTCTCGAGGATCTTCGCCACAACGGACGCTGGCCACGCGCATTTGGTCCGGATACACCTTGATTGCGTCCATGTCTCTGGGATCAAAGGAATATTTGGTGTTTTTTGCTTGGTAGATGACTGGTTGGGCCGCAATGATTGCGCACGTGGTAGGCGCCGTGAACGTCGTGGTCAATGGGCCGAGATTACCAAAGACGAGGTCGTTTACAACAGTGACCGTAGGCATTTTTGCATGTATTTCGTTTGGTCGTTAAGTATTTTAAAGAGAAATGCTACAAAATGAAATGATTGTGCAAAGAACAAAAAAAAAGGAAGGGAATTCATCCCTTGGATTTTAACCCCCGTATAAACGAGGCTCTAAGAGCTGGAGCTATGACGAAATTGCCCACTTAGGCTCTTGGCGATGGGACAGAATTGTCCTAAATGCGGCTCTCACGGGGGTCAAGTCCACTTGTGCTTTTATTCCCGAGCGAAAATGGTGTGGCAAGAAAAACCAATAGGTTAGTCAGTCTTGATTAGACAAATATACGTGCCATGGCGGCACTTAGGGGCACGACAAAAGACATACCGATATACAACCAAGAATTGAGTTGCGATGCGATTGGCACTGCCTCTGGCTTTGTCCTCACTACCGATTTATTGCTAGATGAGATCCAGTTGGCCCGCCGTCGATTTGGAGCTGGCTAATAGCCAATTCGCTCATCGGGGTTTGATAGACCGTACACTGTGCATATACTATGCACGGTGTAGAGATTGTGGCTGTTGTATACGTTCCTGTATATGTCATAACGTTGGATACAATGTCTCTTAGCAGTGTTATTCCTCACTGAAAGTGGTAAAAGTCCGCTCGTAATGCCAGATCACTAGTAAGCGGCTCACACTAGTGTTGAGATTAGAAATTCCAAGGGAATGTAGAGTACTCAAATATAACCAATCTTACCTTTCCACAAAGGGACTATTGCAGCGGTGTTGTTATTACACTAGCGCTGCCGATCTCTCAACACCATCATGTTAGACCATGCGGAGACGAACTTGGTGTTTTCAGCTCGGGGTATAAGGACCCGGGCAAAGCATGGAATGCTAACCATAAAATACATATAGTATACTGCTGCTAGCTTAGTTGCATAGTTTCATACCGCCTACCAAGACGAAAAGATGATCAACATTGTACACATATTTGTGCCATTGGTTCTACTCTTGTCCAACCAGGTGTTTGCCAGTAGGACATGCGACACCTTACGATACGGATCACCGGAGTCCGCCGGGATGTTGGCAAAACCACTGCAGGACATGGTGGCCAATATGACAGCATTCACACAAAGTCGCAATTGGGGAGCGGCAACCCATCAAAAAGTGCTACCTGTCGAACCAGGCGGCACAACGCTCATCGCGCGTAACGGCATCATAGTCAGTCACTTTGCCTTTGGGAAGCGAAGTCTCTGGGCCAGTGTCAATGGCTATAATGGCACCGAATTGCCCATTGATAAGCAGGAAGCGACTACCAAAGATACCATATACGACATGGCTAGTTTAACCAAGATGTTCACCACCGTCGCAGCGCTGCGGTGCATCGATCGCCGACAGCTCACTCTGAACGGCACTGTCGCATCATGGCTGTCTAGCTTTGCGGTCAATGGCAAAGAAAACATCACATTGCAGCAGCTCCTCACTCACACAAGCGGCTTGCAACCTGACCCAATGCCTGGCCTGTGGTCGGGCACCTATCCCACGTACGCGGAAAAGGTCAATGCTATTCTCAACCAGACACTGCAATACACCCCGGGATCGCGATTTGTGTATTCGGACCTCAATTTCATGACACTAATGCTTGTCATCGAAACAGTTACAAGGAAGCCGCTGGACGAAAATATTCGCGAGTATACATCGGCAATGGGCATGAAGGACACCTTCTTCAACCGCAACAATGTTGAAGATATAAGACAAAAGCCCCGAATGGCGGTGCAAGAGTTCCAGATAGATGTCCTCGGCCCTGATGAACCCAAGAGACCACAGCCTATCCGAGGAACTGTCCATGATGAGAATGCGTGGGCTTTGAATGGAGTGTCCGGTCATGCTGGTCTCTTTTCCACGGCGCTCGATACGGCGCGCTTTTGCCAAATGATTCTCAATAATGGCTCTTATGCTGGCCACCAGATTCTTTCCAAGGAATCTGTCGATATGATCTTCACAAATTACAACGCAAGATTTGGGGATGGCTATGGCCACGGCGCTGGCTTCGAACTCGACCAGTACTACACTGCTGGGCCAATGGCAAACTTACAGGCCGCAAGCCACACTGGCTTCACAGGAACCTCTATGGTCATTGATAGAGCTAGTGGTACCCTATTTATTCATATGGCGTCTCGCGTTCATCCTTCTCGCAATTGGAGCAGCAACAATATCGTTAGAGAGACGGTTGGCGCCTGGGTAGCTACGGCGTTGGGCAGGAAGGTAAAATTCCCTTTCTGACTTTAGTCCCGTATTTACAAGGATGTAACAAGTCTGGAAGATGTTGCAGTAGTTTTAAATAAAAATATATACCATGAGCTATTGTAGTGTTGTATATTACCTTGGGGATTCCCGGAGCTAAATCGTGTCTACCTAGAAAGCAGCGTTATTGCGTCTCAACAAAAAGAAAATGACAAGAAAGGCTCTATTTGATGATTCTGATCGGAACGTTGCATTTCAATATATCAGCAACGCAAAAGAAACGTCAACAAGATCATCGTTGCGGGTTCCTCCAACTCATGGGACCGAAACTAGGATACTATCACATGAACATATCGTTTTCCAAAGCTTAGTATCATTCTATATTATCCTTAAAATTCTGACGTTAGGACAACTCGTAGCTCTATGCAACATGTCACGAGAGGGTAGCATTGGGTGGGGGTAAGATTGAGAAGCAGTATCCCGACGGAACCAGTATTCACAACTCGGTGCTCTATTTCGGTACCGAAGGCCTTTCATTACAACCGTCGGCTCTATTAGGTACCGATACTCATTAGATGGGCCTGAAATATGGATATAATGCCGCTTATCCCATCCAGAGCCCATCGAGTTTGTCTCTGTAGATACATGGAACCCGTATGACCAACACTACACTAAACTTTACTCCATAACCAAGACCTACATATCCAATGTTTATCTCGGCTGCGCTTTCCTTGGCGGCAACTGCTTCATTTGCTCTTGGAGCGGCTGCAGCCAACTTGGTACCTGGTAAAGCTTTTGATCGCATGGCGATTATTTACTTGGAAAACACCGATTATGACAAGGCTTACGGTGATTGTAGGTTGAGAATGACGCACTATATGCTCCAACAGCGGAACGCTAATAGTAAACTAATTCATAGCGAGCATGAAATGGCTTAGGAAAAAGGGCATCACCTTGAGCAACTTCTATGCTACCACTCATCCGTCCATGCCAAACTACATGGCTAGCATTGCCGGCGACTACTTTGGCATGGACGATGACACTGACGGCCTAATCGCTCCTGCCAATGTGGCCACTGTTATTGATCTCCTTGAATCCAAGAATATCTCTTGGGCGCACTATGAGGAGGACATGCCGTTCACTGGCTTCACCGGCGATGAGTTCAATGGCAAGAAAGGAAGGAATATGTATGTGCGAAAGCACAACCCAGCAGTTCTGCACAAGAGCGTCACTGAGTCACCCGATCGGCTCGCTCAGGTCAAGAATCTATCCATGACGGATACGCACCGCTCTGAATTCCACAAAGACCTGCAGGCCAACACGCTGCCTCAATGGATGTTCATCACGCCCAACATGACGTCGGATGGCCACGACTCGGACATGAAGACGGCCGGCAAATGGACTCGCAACTTTCTAGAGCCGCTCCTTGCCAATCCCAACTTTACCAAGAACACGCTCATCCTCGTTACATTCGATGAGACGGATGCGTACGAGATCAAGAACCAAGTCCTGGCTGTTTTGGTTGGTGATGCAATCCCCGCAGAGCTCGTGGGAACAACGGACAGCAACTTCTACAACCACTATTCCGGAATTTCTACTGTCTCTGCAAATTGGGATCTGCCAACTCTTGGTCGCTGGGATGTCGGCGCGAATGTCTTCGGACTTGTCGGGGCGAAAACTGGCGATAAGATTAGGGGCTGGGACAAGACTGACTTCAAGTCCTACAATTGGAATGGGTCTTATGGGGGTTACCTCAGTACTCATCCCAAGGGCAAGAAGATCCCTAAGCCCAATTTGAGCCTCGACAAGCCAGCCAATGGCCGACCCATTTTGCAATCCATCAAGGATACATGGGCAAACAGTGACGCCCCTACCTACTACGAGGACAGCATCAAGGTCGCTGATTACCGTCACCCTCCCGCTGGTTACAAGCCTTGAGCTGAAAAGCAAATGTAACACATCAGGTTACATGACCGTTGGGGGTTCTACCGTCAGAACAAGGCTAGATGGAAGCGAATACCGAGACCGATGTCGTCTGGGGTACTGGAAGTGGGTGTGGCTTACTAGTTTTCCCACCAATAAAAGCACAGATATTAGTGAGATGCATCGCAGTGTTAGCCTATTCGAGCTGGAACTGTAGCTTATTAGCCCTATTTTTAGACAATGAAATTCTAATACAGCGAACTATGCTGCCACATATCTCAGTAGAATTTAGAAGAACCTGGAGATCGTCCCGCAGAGCTCCCGTCGAGAAGCGCTGACAACATAGCATAGATCAAATCGGATTTAACCCCCACCTATGTACACCTTACTTCCCCAGCTTGGAGCAAATTAAGCCGTCGGAATTATCTTTATGGATGCAAAGATTCTCGTCCAGCTCCAGCTGCAATTTCGGTCGCGTGGTGCTTGACCGCGTTTGTGTTTTTGTCGAGGTGCATAATTGGATTGATGTAAAGGATTAGATACTGTCTTGATTGAATGAATATTAAATTTATAAAGTATACTATTTTATACCTCCTTTACATGAAGCAGCGTGTTGATATCGCCAGAAGTCGGTACCGCTCGCTTCTGAACAGATGCCTTGCGAGGATTGGGGCTCTCAAATATATCATCTAGTTCCTCCAATGTGAAGCCCTTCGTCTCAACACTCCAAAAGTACGAGATGCCGAATTCGATAAAGTTCCAGATGCACCAAATAATGTATGTTCTGTAACCAATCTTTTCCAGCGCCACTGGGGTACCGAACTGGTTGACGAGTCCGGCAATGTTGACTCCCAGATTCTGGAATGCAACACCTTTGGCGCGTTGCTCGTACGTAAACACTTCAGCGGCATAGACTCCCTGAAGAGGAGTGATGCCAATGCAGTATATAAAGCTGAAGATGAAGTAAAACGCGATGCCGGCCTTTGCTGCCGCAATGTTGGATGGGGTTGAATCAACAATGCCGGCTCCAACAGCTACTCCGGCCCATGACAAGCCCATACCGAAGAGAGTACACAGAAACAGAGGTCTTCGGCCGACAAAATCACACAAGGGCGAACCAATGAAGCTTGCCATTGTGCTCATAAAGTTTTGCCAAACATTAAAGACAAGAACCGTGGTGGGATCCGTAATTCCGGCGCTCGCAAAAAAGGCGCCTACATAATAGGAAATTCCGCCGCTGGACAGAGCACCCCAGACTCCAATCATCAGACTGTTGCCCAGTCTATATCTTTTGGAGCGGGTGGTGAAGAGTGGCCGGTAATCCCACCATTTTTCAGAGCTATTCTGCTCAAGCTGCTCTTCAAACTCGACAAGCTGTAGCTTTACCCAAGGGTTTTCAATATCGCCATCACCATGGTATTTGGTGATGAATTCGATGGCTTTTGTCTGTTGATTATGGGTATACAGCCATCTAGGCGACTCCGGGAGGAACCAAATCATCAGGCAGGCGATTCCTGGACACGCGAGCTGGACCCAGGTCGGGATAAGCCACGAGTCGTTGCCCGTAAGGTTGACAGTGCCCAAAGCAACTGCTGCCGCAATAATTCCGCCAAAGTTTTGCATGCTGCTCTGGCCACCGGCCAAGATGCCTCGGTGTGCCGGGTGCGCAACCTCAACACAGTATGTCGGGGCAGCAGCCTGAGCTAGAACACCTCCAAAGCCGAGCAAGAACCGGCCGGCAAGAAACTGACCCAAGGACCCAGTCTGAGCTGATGTGGCCTGGATAATAGCACCGAGGACAGACGAGGCACAGCCCAGGAATAGAGCGAAGCGGCGACCGAAGCGATCCATGCAAGGGCTGATGAATGGGATGGCTATCACACCAGCAATCTGATATATCGCAGTAATATAGCCGGCCTGGAAGCCATTGACGTTGGCGCCAAAGAGATTTTGAAATGAGCCCATCACGAGGAAACTTGCCATGACGGAGCTGTCATAGCCGGCCATTGAGCCGCACAAGAAGGCTGGAATACACATGAAGAAAGTGAGCATTGTATTCCAAGCAAGGATCTTGGGTTTCGCAGATTGGATAGCGCTGGCCCATCGCTCGGAGCCTTGAACAAGCTTAGTTTTGGGGCCATTATCGGCAGTTTCAACAATAGTTGAATGGTTTTTGTCAGACATGATTTATGAGAGGCAAGAGAAAGTAGGATATAGTCAATTGAATAACAAGTCCAAAAGAAAGAGTCGTCTGTTTAATATATATCGCCAGGCCCACTGGTATAGCGCCATCATATTGAGATGAAGATGGGTATAATATGGTTGCATTATTAGGAGGAGAAACGTAGCATACCTATTACTGGAACTTAATGCCCATGTTTGGTGCGAGCGGCTCCCCCAACGTACGTTAAATGGCTCCTCGACTCATGCCAGCCGCCAATCAACACCGTTGCAGGACAGTTGAGGCGTTGTGCTTGATAGCTTCGTGGGGGTAGTGGCGTTTCCCCGCTAAGAATACCACCTTGGGGCCCCTAGGCGAGCTCGCAATAAAGAGATGTGAAATGTAACCAGCTTGGAATTCAATCCATTGAAAATTCTGTCATTTGTATATTATCGCTCTTCTTTTTTTGATACCTGAATGCTCTATAGGTTGGCAAACTCAGCCGCCACCTTTTCGATTTGTGCAAGACGCTCAGCGCGCGACTGAACTTTGCCTGGGGCGTCCGGTTTCCCATCCCAGGGTCTTGGTCCCGCTAGCGGCCTGTAATTCACTCCTAATGCCTCGAGTCTGGCAATATGCCCTTGCTCCAGCCTCTTCCGGAATCCCTCAAAGTCATTGCTTCCTCGGCCCCATGCTACCTCTGCAAAGGCACAAAGCCGCGGGAATGCCATGTACTCTACCCGCCGTATACTTTCCATGTTCTCTGTGAAGACGGTAACTTGCGCTCCAATGATATGAGCTGCTTCTTCCGGTGTTAATCCTGCTGGAATATGGTTCGTGTTGTAAACATCTTCTAGTGTCAACAGACATTCCATCGGCGTCGGCTCTCCTGCGTCTTCGGACTGGCGATAGTCAAAATACGAATCAATGTCAGGACAGGCCACCACATCGAAGCCTCGTCGGGCTGCTACAGCCGTTGGGCCAGGGCCTCTCCAAGCAGTGATAAGAAGAGACCCAACAGATCCGGAATAGCCTGTCATAGCCTCGTCCCATGCCAGAGCGCGTCTTCCAAGCTTCTCCAAGTGATCTGTCAATTGCTTCGTGAACCAGCCTTGCAATTGTGGCTCTTGGGTGAGACCTAGCTCCTTCATGCGAGCTTGTGCTGCTTGACTCTCCTTCCACTCGTCGTACGGGCACTCGTCGCCACCGATTCCAATCATCTCGGAAGGAAATACGCGACAAACATAAGTTAAAACAGAGCGGCAAAAGTCCAGAGTAGGGTTGGACACGTTCAAGACATGTTTCGAGATACCCCACCAGTCTCGAACACCAATGGCTTGGTCTCGGCCTGGGACATCAACATTTCCCAACTCAGGATATGCTGCAATCGCGGCCTGCATATGTCCAGGCATGTTCACCTCCGGGACCACGGTAATGTGACGCTCGGCTGCAAAGGCTACTATCTCATGTAGGTCATCTTCTGAGTAAAACCCTCCATGTGGCCTGCCATCATACAGCCCATGTTGCCGCGCGCCCTGCATGGTTCTGGAGCGCCACCCACCAACAGAGGTGAGCTTTGGGTAATCTGGGACGTCAATGCGCCAGCCTTGATCATCGGTAAGATGAAGATGCAACACATTGAGTTTATGGAAGGCCATTAGGTCGATGAATCGCAATATATCGGGAACAGGCATGAAATGGCGCGCTACATCCAACATGCACCCTCGCCAGCTGAATCCTGAAGATGGAGAATCGGAAATATGCTGAGTTTGTAGCTTCCATGGGCCTTTGGTGCCATTGCCAGCTTTGCGAAGAGCCCTTGCGGGAAGAAGTTGTCGAAGCGTCTGCCGCGCATAGAAGAGCCCTGCCTCGGAACCACCGCGTAGAGTGACTCCTGACTCCTCGCTGATATCTATCGTGTAGCCTTCACGTGGGAGAGTTGAGTCAATCTCGCTCTTGATGCTCTCCAGTGTTGCCAGTTCAACGCAACCATCGGTGAGCGTTACCAATCGCGGCTGAGGTATAAGAGACATGGGAATTGTGGTTTTGATTGAATTTTGTTCATGTAAAATGTGGTTTCTTCTTTTTTGTGAACAAAGCAACAACTAAAAACGAGCTTTACACTTATGTACAGGGCCAGTACACCTTTATTTGGGGGTCATGCCCTCAACAACACTGAACCCCCCCCCCCCCACCAAAGCCGAGCCAACAACGCTCACCAAAGGCACGATACCCCACGCAACAGCCCATATAAATTCTACAAGCGCCCTCGGCTAGATATCGCCGAAGATCCGTTCATGCTGAGGGGTCGTTCTTTTCCAATGCTAGCCTTCTCTATTGCTTTGTGCCAGAATTGAACGTTACTCCAGATAGCTTTTATGGACTGGCCGTGACACAGTGGTGATTGAGACGTCTCAAGATATTGATTAATTTCTGCCGGGGAACATCGCAGAAAAATTATGCGTATCCAGAGATTTACATCACCTCTCAAATAGAGACAACAAGCATTCTATCTACAGCCTTGAACTAACGCCGCTGACTTGCTGAGAGCTTCGCCTCAACGCCACCGGCGATTTGCTGTCCTCATTAGGCAAAGATGCCCAGCTATATAGCAACCTCCTCTCCAAATACATCTTTAAAGTTCGTACATCCAGTCCTGCCTCATTCCATGGTCCTCAACCGCGTCTGTAGCACGCCGTGAACGACAAACCGTACCACGGTCTTATACAAACATACCAGCTATTGCGCCAGCACCAGCTACGACAAATGGCATAATGATATACGTCCATGGATTTGGGCGGGATATGGCGCCTTCTCCGTGGCCATTGATGTCTTTGACAGACTCACCCCCTCTGTGTATAAGCACAACCGCTTCGATATAGTCGTAGACTTTATACTCCGAAACTGGCAGGTCATCAGTTCTAATTTCAGGAACCACAAAATCTCCTCCTGTTAAAGGGATTCGATAGGAGGTCAGTGGAGTAGGGATGTCTCGCACAAGCGTTACCGTCGTCGAAGGGAGTGTGCCAATAGCAGTCGTTATAGCATCTGACCGGCGCGGCTTGTATTCTGTCGTGCAAATTGAGCTGTAGGATGCAGGGAAGGACCCCAACAGGCCCATTTTAGATGTACACGCTAGTCCGTCGACTGCGGTATAGGAGCTATATCTCTCGTGTTAATCACCATTGTCACTTGATACGGATGACGGGCGGTTCACCTACCTGGGACAGCAGGCAACCATCGTCTCATCAGGCGCCAAAACAGCGTCTACAATCTGCGCCAGCCCGTTTCGTACGTCTGGCTCGTATGTGGTTGTAAAAATTCCCGAACCATTGGTTTTGGGTGTTTGCGTGCCGATCGTCGTCCATCCTGATGGGCAGGCCGGTGCTGGCGAGTAGTAGGGCATAACTCGATGGTATTCCTGTATCCTGTCTTTGAATATTGGGGCTCTAGCCTTGCCAGATGGAAAGCATTCTTGACGATATGGTACACCACAGAATACATAGTATTCTCCCCAATCGTCGTCGTCGATGCTACGCGCAACAAAGGGATTTGGAGGGATCGTGCTGCATGCTGGCGGTGGTGTGTAAACAGCGGTAACAGGCCCTAAATTTGTCAAGGTCAAGAACCCGTACACTGATGAAGTAGGCATGATAGCGTGAGGCTACTGGAAACTCGACTTGTTGTGTGGTTTTGGAACGTTAGTGGTTAGAGCACCGCCAAGCACAAGACAGCAGAGAGGAGGGTTTTCCTTTTTTTTTTTGCAATCTTCAGAAGAGCAATCCCACACCCGGTAGCCTGATTTGGTCCAAAGTTCACATTCAATTTTAAACTGCTAGCGCGGGGAACGCGCTAAATCCTGGGGGGCACTTTGGCAGCCTGATTCTGACTCGCTGGCTTTCGGCTAAGCGAGAAGAGCTCCAACAGCTAGTCGAGAGCGGCATATTTGCTAAGGCAAGAGTACAGGTCATAATTCATCGCCGTTAATTTGTACTTGTGTTTCTCTACAGGCGCTACAGATAGCTGTACTGCACACTCCAGTGTCCACCCTAGCAATCATTCACTACACATAGGACCCAGCAATAGCCCCAAGTCCTGCCACCAGCAACGGCATGCCAATAGACATCCAAGCCTTGGGACTGGAGGAAACAGGTGCTTCGCCACTCCCCTTTCCATCCTTGCCAGAATCTCCTTTGGATTGGATGAGAATCAGCATTCCCTTGTTGCTCTGCACAAAGTTGTCAGCAGGCCCAAGATAGAACTCGCTGCCGGGATCGTCGTAGACAGTCTCGTTGATAGGGACTTGATAAAGGGAGGGCCGAGCTGTGTAGCCACTTCGCTGGATGACAGTGGTCGTTTCTGGTCCTACTATTGTTTCTGTGACAAGAGTGCGGCCCTTATCTACTTGCGTGTCGATGCACGCAGAGCTGTAGCTGGCAGGGAACGTGCTAAGAGGCCCTATATCGTACGAGCAAATAAATCCGTTTGGTTTGTGATTTCTGATACCAGCACTGAGTCATTGATGCTGTATTTTCGCCAAAAAAGAAAAGAGAACTTAGTATTACTTACACAGGACAACAGAGTGCCATGGTCTCTTCTGGACCCATGACATAGTCGGCAAAGGACGACCAAATGTTTACACTGTTTTATGCCCTGGCCAAACTCCAAAGTAAAAACACCAGAACCTCGGCTGCTCAACATTTTTGTCCCTACAGTAGACCATCCTGACGGGCAGTGAAGACCCGGGGAGTAATAGGGAAAATTTACTGGTTGTAAGCCATCAAACTCGGCGTCGACTGAGTGCTTAGCCTTACCAGATGGCGTTCAGGCCGCCGCGTCTGGTGTAGAGCAAAAGATGGGAAGAGCTACAGGCGTTTCCGTGCTGTTGTTGTTGATGAGGGAGAAGACGATGGACGGCTCGACTGTGAGGGTGCTGCAGGCAGCAGGAGGCGTAAAAGTTGTAGTCAGCGGACCAAGATTGGTCATGGTAGCGTCTGCATAGCGCAAATGGTAGGCATGGCTCCAATCGATGTCTTGGTGATAGCGATGATGCTGCTGCTGTTGGTGACAAGCTCTCTGTTTTGATGTGTGAATCCAATGGCGAGATTCTTCGTAGAGTCAGTTGAAATATCTGTTGAGAATCAGGGTGGCGTGTTTATTAGTGTTTTCCACACCACACAGCCTTGTTGCTACCAAAATGTGCGGGCCAAAATGTGCGGGCCAAAATCTGGGGCGAGCGCCGGCGTTATTTCCAGTAGGGGGTGTAGAGGCAGTTAAAGTTACAGTGATTCTCGTCTCGAGACTAAGTTAGACTCATAGCGAGAGTGTGAGACACTACCATGCAGAACGTTGGGACGTCTCTGGGTGATGTGTTCGAGGTCGCTACAGCTGTAGAGTCGCCACGAGCATTCCGCCTTCTCTGTAAATGAGACTACGAGAGTTACGTTGGGCAGGAGGCCCGCGTCTTTTCCCGCTATATGGCATTCTATAAGCTGGGGATTGGTATCATAAACGATGTCATCTATGGGAGGGTGGAGACAACTACTATTCGAAGCTGTAACAATAACCTAATAGTAATAACACAAACTATGAATCGTTGGTACCCACAGCTTGGGTAAAGGCTAGCGCTTCACACCAAACTCAGCCCCTCCTGTTCATATTCCCAACCGTAGCTACATGTGTAGTCTTATTTGAACATCTTGCTTTAATAGCGCACTATGCTTGAAGCATAAGATGAGAGATGAGGCTGCCAGAAGAGAACGTCTTTCTCTTTGGCTACCACCGCCTGGATACGATGGCCCTCTCGACAGCAAAGACTACATGAACCTTGGCTTTACTGTCTATCGCACAGACTACAGTCCCAGCACAGATTCACTATGGGATCAGCTGCTTTTCGATCTCAAGTTAAAATTGAAAGAATCTATTGAAGACTGCTTTGAGGAAAATCGCGAGATTGAGACTGAGCTTGAGGCTGTTGAGAAAATGTTGCAGCTGGTGCACTTGGACACTCGTTCTGACAAAGAACTTCTCGATGGCCTTAATGATACTGAGCTACGAAAAGTATTTATTGGTGGCATTGGAGGAATACCTTTAAATACAAACAAATCGAGTCATCGAGTCTCCTTGTTTGCGGACGCTACTGTCTTCGCAAAGCTTCACAACAACAAAACACCTTGGATCCGAGCAGTACAATTGGACTATGAGCCAGCAAGACATGAAATCTGGCGTGATCCTCGTTTTATAAATGAGCGTCAATATTTTTGGGGTTGGTTGAAACTATCACTGATGGGTTTATTTGACTTCTGGTCAATGTTACAAGTTCGAGACCTCTCTCAGCTTGCCCCTGCTATGGTTACAGAAGAATCAGCAGCTATTCTTGATCGCGGCAATGAGGTGAATGATACTGTAAATTAGGTAGATTACTAGTAGAGTGGAGCTTTTCTATATTTCATTTCTATATAATAGTCTACTTCATAAACTGAGCTGTGTTAATCCGTAATGTACAAGAATAATTGCAGCGTCTCCTTTCCGGCGCTAGAGGAAGCTTACCAGGATTTTCTCAGTTCTAAAAATGGTTCAAGCAAGGCCACCCTTAGTTAATGAGACAGTAAAGACATTGTAGTAGTTCTTTATGCGAGCTTTCCAATATGCGACAATGGGCGCCCGTTGTGCCAGGCTTGAACCTGTTTGCATATCTCCTTAGAAAAGAAATAAAGGGCATTTTGATTAGGACCCCAGACTGAATTTAGCGCCATCCGATCTGGCGCAGGTATTGCAGATCTCCTGTATGTGGAGTGATGTCCCCTGACGCTGGCGTCACACTCTCTCTATCCATGGTTCTGAACGGGATCTAAAATAGTGTAGAAATTTAGAATAACGATAATATTGCCGAAAAGAAGAATGCACATGTTCATCATTCATCACATTCCAGCAGAAAACAATCCGCATGGCCGAAATAAACAAAACAACCCGCACAGCCATGTCTCAGACCGGCACCCATGCCCGACCACGATGGAAATGAACCAAAACAAGGGTAATAATACTACTTGAAAGGGGGTGAGTTGACCGCAACAGTCGTTCGTCCAAGGTTCCATTCTGCAACGCTCTTTTCCTTTCTTCTTCATCTGCAATGCACCCCAGCCTGGCTGGTTTCACTCGTTTCTAATCGCCGCTCGTCCACGATGCATGCTCTATTCTGCGCGCTGTGGTTTCTTTTCGCGGCAGCGCAGGCTCTGTCGCTGCCCGGCTACAAGTTCTTTGATCTCGACCTCACATGGCAAGACAATGCACCTGTCGGCCATGCGAGAAAGATGATGCTCATCAACGGGCAGAGTCCTGGCCCCGTGCTCCGAATAGACCAGGACGACTGGGTGACTGTGCGCGTTCGGAATCTCTCGCCCACAAACACGTCGCTTCACTTTCACGGTCAGTACCATACGCATATTAAACAAAGCTAGATTACGTGTTAACATGCAGCCACAGGCGTGGAAATGTTCGGTACGCCCTGGTCCGACGGTGTCCCCGGTGTAACGCAAAACGCCATCGCCCCGGGCCAAGTATTCACACATCGCTTCCGAGCCACACAGGCCGGTAGCTACTGGTACCACTCGCACATTGACGACCAGATCGAGGACGGCCTGTACGGCGCCGTGGTCATCCGCCCACGACCCCACGACCCCAAGCCATTTAGCAAGATCTCCGCCGACCGATATGCCATACAAGCAATGGAAGCCGCCGAGAGGAATGTCAAGCCGCTCACCATTTACGACTACATGCACATCACGTCCAAGGAAAAGTGGCAGATTACGCCTGCTGCGGGCATCGAGCTTCCCTGCTACGACGCCATCCTATTCAACGGCAAGGGCCGGATCCAATGCCTACCCATGGACGAGATGATGTCGCATCTTGGCCCTGTGCAAAAGGCCGATCTCGCCTTGGTTCCTGGCTCGACACTCACAGACAAGGGATGCTTTCCTCCCGAAGTCATGGCCGCATTTGGCGGCAACATCCAGTCATTCAACAAAAGCGCCATACCGGACGGCCTCTTCTCCGGCTGCGTGCCCACCTACGGCGAGCTGGAGACATTTCACACACGATACTCACCGTACCAAGAACACTGGGTGGCCATGGATATTATCGGCGCTACCAACTTCGCCATTGGCGTCTTCTCCATTGACGAGCACGATATGTGGGTGTATGCCATGGACGGGTCGTATATTGAGCCGCAAAAGGTGCAGACCATGACGCTGGCCAACGGCGAGCGGTACTCCATCATGGTCAAGACTCATCGTGCTGGGCAATTCAAGATGCGCTATGCTGCCAACTCGGCGCCGCAGACCATCACCGGCCATGCCATTCTCCACGTCCACGGCGCAAACCCGTCGTCTCTGCAAGCCTCGCAGCCATGGACCGACATCATTGGAACCAAGTTCACCAACACCACGTGCTTTGACCAGGACGTTGCCCACCCGTTCCCGCCAGAGCCCATCCCCGAGTCTGCCGACGACCTGTTTGTGCTCAACATGCGCATCGACGGCGCCTCCTACATCTGGGCCCTCAACTCGACACGCCTAGAGCCGCACGCCATGGAATCCCGCAAGACGCCTATGCTATTCGCGCCAGATACCACAGCCAACAATGTCACCATTATGACCCGCAACGGCACCTGGGTTGACCTGATCCTCTTCTCTAGTGTATTCCCCATGCCTCCGCATCCCATTCACAAACATGGTGTCAAGATGTACCAGATTGGTGCCGGCCCGGGCCCGTTCAAGTGGAAAAGCGTGGATGAGGCGAGAAAAGAGATCCCAGATGCCTTCAACCTCGCCAACCCGCCCAAGCGCGATACCTTTACATCGCATCCTGCGCGAAAGGAAGTCAACTGGATTGCCGTCCGGTACTTTGTAAACAATATGGGCAGCTGGCTCTTGCACTGTCACATTAGCAACCATATGGTCGGTGGTATGGCCATGGTCATTCTGGACGGAGTCGACGCTTGGTCGGACATGGACATACCGCAGGAATACTACCGTGCTCTGGGAGAGCACTAAGGAACTTTTCCCCAAAGAAAAAGCTCATCAATTTTACGTATGTATTTGTATATATAGATTATCTACGCTTTGTATATAATGCTGTACTTTTCTTCTTCTTAGTATGCGATGGACGTGGCTAATAGCTGCGCGGTAAACCCAGCATTCGCTGCCCAATATAATTCAGTATCATTTCCTTGCTGATAGGAGCAATCCTCGGTACAAAGACCTCGCGCATGAACCTCTCCACCACGAATTCCTTTGCGTAGCCCATGCCTCCATGTGCCATGATGGCTCGTTCACATGCGGTGTAGGCGGCCTCGGCAGCGAGATACTTGCCACCATTGGCGTATTCACCGCCAGTGTATCCGTCATCGTACATTTTGGCCGCTTGGGCAAGCATCAGGCGCGCTGCTTCCAGCTGCAACCATGAGTCAGCTAAAGGATGCTGGATAGCTTGATTCTGCCCTATGGGACGTCCAAAGACAACGCGCTCTCCAGCATAAATCGCTGCTTTGCGCAACGCGGCGAAACCTAATCCCACGGCCTCTGCTCCGATGAGGATTCGCTCCGCATTCATCCCGTGTAGAATAGCCTTGAAACCCTTTCCTTCCTCCCCGATGCGATCACTGACTGGCACTTTCCATCCGTCAAAGTAGACGTCATTGGAATCGACTGCAGATCTGCCCATCTTGCCAATCTCCTTGACATCCACTTGTGAGCGGTCCAGTGGCGTGTAGAATAAGGAAAGCCCTTCAGAAGGACTTTTTACTTGCTCCACGGGTGTAGTACGAACCAGGATCAGTATCTTCTCGGCGTGTTGTGCTGTCGTGATCCACGTCTTTTGGCCAGACAGATAGTAATAGTCGCCGTCTCTCTTGGCCACGCTCTTCATCTTTAACGTGTCTAGACCAACATTCGGTTCTGTTACAGCAAAACAGGCCTTTTCTTTTCCATCTATCAGCGGCCTCAAGTGTCGCTCCTTTTGCTCTCTGGTGCCAAATTTCGCCACGGGCTCCAAGCCAAAAATGTTGATGTGGATGGCACTAGCTGCGCTCATACCGCCACCGGCTTCGGCAATAGTCTGCATCATCGTGGATGCTTCCTTTATGCCTAGTGCTGAGCCTCCATATTCTTCAGGGAGACAGATTCCCAGCCATCCATCCCGGGCAAGCGCCGCGTGGAGCTCGTGGGGAAAGGTAGCCGTCCTGTCTCGTTCATGCCAGTACGAGTCGGGGAAATCAGCACAGATCTTGGAGATGGCTGATCGTACCTCCTGCTGGGATGGAGTAAGATCGGGATCACTTTGATGAAGATATTCTATGCCGCGTGCCGAGTAGGAGCGACTACTATTAAGCGCCAGGCGCTTATATCGGGAACCTATCCGGCATCTCACAGACTATTCGTATTAGCTTGTAGGCGTTGTCCTAATCTAAAACACTCACCCTCAGAGGAAACATTACATCAAATTGTACATAAAGTCCTCCTTCAAAAGTAGAGATGCAAAAAGTCAACATGAGCATGTAACCGCCGGGCACCGCAAGTCGGCTGCCTCGGCATACCCCACACCATTCGATCTTCCCCCAACACGGATTATGACGAAAGGCGGTATCGGCCACCCTCTTCTTCCCATCGTTGGCATGACTTATGTTTGAAATTCAAAGATGAATTCATTCATATGCTCTCGTATTAAAAGACTTCCTGTTCAAAATTGGCAGCAAGTTCGGCGGGCCACATCATGTGCTGGACCTTTGGCTGGCATCAAGGTTCTAGATCTTACACGGGTATTAGCCGGTCCATTCTGCACGCAAATTCTGGCAGATTACGGTGCGGATGTGATCAAAATTGAACAGCCTGTTACTGGTGTAAGGCTCTTATCCTCTAGCATCTATTTTCATTTTCTGACCGACTAGGACGATACAAGACGATGGCGGACAGAAGCAGAGAAGCACATTTGGAGAGACGAGGACCAGGACATGTCGCTGTACTTTTCTGCTGTCAACAGAAACAAAAGATCCGTGGCATTGGATCTCAAACATCCCCAAGGGCGTGGGATTTTGCTCCAGCTAGCCAAACAGGCCGATGTCGTGTAGGTCTTTCCATCAAACATTGACAAACAATGGCGCTTGCAAAATCACATCTAACACGATTAGAATCGACAATTTCATCCCTGGAAAGATGGACAATCTCCAAATCGGCTATGATGTTCTCTCCGGAGTCAATCCCAAGATAGTTCATGCAAGTATATCCGGTACGAGTCCCCACCGCCCAATCGAAACCTTCACCAAGTCATTGCTAACGATACGTTCCTACAGGCTACGGTCAAACGGGACCTTACGCGAAACGCGCAGGCTATGACCTCATTGCGGGCGCCGAAGCAGGCCTCTTACACATCACGGGTGAAACCGATGGGCGGCCGTTGAAGCCTGGCCTCGGGCTCACCGATATGTGCACCGGCCTATACACACATGGGGCCATTCTAGCGGCCCTTCGCTCTCGCGATGTATTGGGCAAGGGCCAGGCCATTGACACATCGCTTTTTGAGACACAGATCTCTCTCATGTCCAACGTCGCCATGTCCTGGCTGAATCTGGGCCAAGAGTCACAGCGATGGGGAAACGGCCATCCTACCATTGCGCCTTACGACAGCTTTGAGACAAAAGACTCGCATATTGTAGTCGGTGCCGTCAACGACAGACAGTATAAGAAGTTGTGCATGCTGCTGGGTTGCGACGAGCTTGCAGATACAGATCAATATGCGACAAATCCGGATAGGGTGCTGCACAGAGACTCTCTCATGAACGAACTTCAGACCATATTCAGAACAAAGACAACGGAGGAGTGGTGTGCAGTATTTGAAGGCAGTGGTATGCCGTATGGCCCCATCAACACTATAGAAAAGGCTTTTGAGCACCCGCAAGTAGGCGCGCGGACCGCAGTCACTACTATAGAAGATAGTAGAGTTGTCACTGGCTACTTAAAAGTACTGAGTAAGTCTATCTCGGCAAAATGAAAAGAGAAGAAGAGGGAATCTTGCGACTAACAATGCATAGATCCTGCCGTTGCTTTTAGTGGTGACGACGTTGGAATACGCACGGCAGCGCCGAGTCTGGGCCAGCACACCGACCAAGTATTGAAAGAAATTGGATTCTCTACTTTAGAAATAGACAACTTCAGAATAGACAGGGTAATCGGATAGACAATCGCCCAAAAAAAAATATGCATGAGCTAAAGAGACTAAAAAAGAATTCTCCGGTACAGGGAATCGAACCCTGGGCTGCTCGGATCCATACTGAGAGCGAGCGATGTTAGCCACTACACCATACCGGATGTGCTTCTTGAACAACCACCGTCTTATTTTCTATTATACGTTCTCTTCATTTTGCGACAAAAAATGCTTCACTGATAACGAGTACTGGTTGCACCTCTACCAGTACCATACATAACAAGCAGGTTTATTGCAAATTAATTTTTGTTAAAGGTATTTTACTGTAGTAATTGATCGTCATCCCCCCACCTCACCGACTTCCGCGACAGATTTAGAAACAGCCGGGTGCCGGCCATGAAACGTTCATAGCGTTTCACCCTTGTCCAAGAGGTCCTAGAGCACGTCTTATATGCCCAGCCTGCCTCCTACTCTTTGACCTCTTCTGTCTCTTCTCTTCACATCTCTTTGTTGCAAACACAATATCGTCCAAACTCCATATAGTGAGATAAAAAATAGCCCGCGCCAGATATTCACCATGTCCTACAACCCCTGGTACTGTGCAACCGAGTGCACTGGCATGTCGATCAACTTTGCCCTTCGATGCAAGTACTATACGAAACAATGATAGTAGCAGACGGAACAACAATCTAATACGGATGCAGTGGTAATCTACAGCGCCGCCTTAGGCCTTATTTCCAAGTTTTCAAAGATCCGGCCCAACAGTGGTAACAAAATCACACTAGCCGACCGTACGTATAACTACTCACCCTGTTTGTTTCGTGTACTATTTACTAATATGGAGAGATTTGATAGAACTGGTCTTTTATGGCGGAATAGCACTCACGTCCATCATTGCAATTTCTTATAGCGAAATGATTGGCCGCGGTTACGGCAAGGACTTTGAGCCCATGGACCTTGTCCGCTTGGGCGGCGTTATCGGCATGGCATACTACGTGTTGTACCAAGAATACGTGATGCTGCCGAAAAAGACGGACGACGAGCAGCTTGCAGATGTGATTGCGCGCGGAATGGCAATGGCTGAAGACGAAAAGAAGACGAGCTAACAGAGTGGTCTTTCGTTTCACATATGATGTATATATTTGTTGGCATATTTTTTTCTACGGGTCGCGTTCTTTTATATAGTTTTTGTAACTTTACGACATGAACGATCTCAATTTGCAAGCTTTGTAGTACTCCAGCAATTTTCGCTCTCACCGCGAGGACCCCCGCCACCCAGTAGTCGAGACCAAACCAAGCTGCGCCCGCCACCAAAGCCTTCTCCCACACAATCAGCAACCGCTCGACAGGACAGGCAAAATGCAGACACTCATAGGAGGTATGGCAGTATCGAATGTGGCTTAGTTTTAAATGTGACAATTTCCTAATCTACGGCACAGGACTCTTCTACGGCCTCGTCGCCATGGCGTGGACCGCGTTCTACATGTCGTCATTGGCCCAGGCCAAGGCGAGCCACCTAACCAGTTGAGTCTACCAGCACCATCAACAGCACCACCGCAAGAGCTGCACTAACCCGTTTACAGAGCTGTGCTTCGGCGCAATGGTGGGAATGATTGGCGTTTGGAACATGCTGCTCGCATACAGGACGCTCATCGGGTATCCCGCGACGCAAGAGGGCTTCCGGGCCATTGGTGCCATGATTCCCATTCCTATTATTTTTGAAATCACGTTCCGTGATAAGGATGAGGGTAAGAAGCAGGCGGTAGTGGCCAAGAAAACGCAGTAGAAAATAGAATGTTGTGTTGTGTGCTTCAGATGGCTACTGTGGTCGCGTGCGTATCACCAACGAAGAATGTTGGCCTCAGTCAGCGCCGCTGACCGGCGACTTTACCGTCAACACTCAGCACTTGACCACTCACCAAACACAGCTATACCACGCGTCGTATATATGTGAATAAAGGAGTAATGACGCCTAAAGAGTGGAAAAACCACCCAATCGAGGACGAATCTGCGTATTTAGAAGAGTGCAGAACACGACGCAGGCTGCTCTCGAGGTATAGGGTGGCAGCATCCAATGCCGCTGGCATCCTCAGCGCTGGTGTTTTAGGCCTTGAGTTGGCCCAAAAATTAGGATTTAGAAATGTTTACTCAAATGGTATAGTCTTTGGATTCGAGAATTGCGCACTACCGTGTTATGCTAACGAATAATGGCTAGAATTCAAGGCAATGATGCTGATTCCCGCATTTGGTCTCCTTACCAGTGTGGTCCCAGTCGAACAGGGCAAGGGTATATCGGCGGTTTCGTTTTTGGCACTCTACATGGTTTGGATCGCTGGACTAGTAAAACGCGAATGGTTCTCGGCAAAGTTACTCCTCGGCGTTGGTTCTGTAAGCTTTAGCATCCTTGGCTGGGAAGTATGGACAGGAAACCATGGACAGGAGTAGGTGAGCATCTCGGCCCCGAAAACCACAGAGGCAAAAAAAAAGAACGGCACTTTGACAACACCTCGATGTACGATACAATATCAATGCAAAACTTGTTATTAAATCCATATCAAATTAGTAGCTGTGAGAGAAGTCTATCAAATGGAAATGAAGCCAAAAAAAATAAAAAAGATAGGGAAGTAGGACTTCCGCCCTCCCGGTTTACATCAATCGTATTCAATGGAACATTGTATAGGAAAAGCCCAATGCGGGGGTCGAACCCGCAACCTTGAGATGTCAAGTGAAACTTGATTAAGAGTCTCACGCTCTACCGATTGAGCTAACCGGGCAGGTTGTACTCCGGGAGTCCGGAGGTCCTGCTTCGATGAAAGTTTGAGTGTTATTTTACACTATAGACCTCGCAGTGGGGCTGGTGTGGGAGGACCCATTGGTTTGGCGTTTTGCAAAATTTTTTTTCGTGGGCTTTGCACATCGCTGGTTTGGGTGACAGCGCGTTATCCTGCCTGTGCAGGTGGAGGCCCCACGAGCCATAGACAAACACTTTCCATTTTGGGAAGTGCTGGAAGAAGATACGATGTTAGTGAAAGCAAGCATCACGATATCTTGTATACTGCAGCTTCTTATGCGTGATCCTCACGCCCAATTTTGGTCGCCGCCATGAAAACACAAGCCTTTTTAGCTGTTTCGCTTTTTGCAAGACTAATATGGTTTCTGCAGCATACACCTTTGTCAAGTCAAAAAAAGAAGAGCAAACTTTGGATGCATAGGCAGAGTGTAAATGCGTATAAAATGTACCCTCGGATTGTGCCCTAGTTTAAGTGGTTTGATCTACAAATTGTTTGGAATTTTACACACTATTTCCACTCCCATGCTCAGCTGTCGTCGTCCTGATTTACAACATAACTGAAAGACACCATGCCCATTCAGAAGTGCTTGAAGCAGTCGCTTGCAAGCATACGACAAAAAACCAAGACCCTACCTAGCTGCGTACAGAATTTGAAAGAGAAAATTTGCAAAGTGTTGATGAAACCCACCAGTTCCAAAGATACTGCTCAATCCGACTTGGATTCCGGTTATGGTGGTTCGGCAGATACTCTTTGCGAGGCGTCATACAGCCTACCCCCCTTCCAATTTTCCGACACTCCAACCTTGGCGAGTGCCTACTTCAGCAGCACGGCACCAGCAGACGGCTCCGTACAATTTCCTCGATTTGGCGAGCCGGAGCGGGGGTCCACGCCCGTCACCTACTACTCCAGACGTCTCATGCCCGTCACATTTGACGAAATCGTCGCCGCAATGGTTATAGAGACGGCCAGGCGTCATCAACCGGAAATCATATACGCCTCCCGAGAAGCCACCAGGCACGAATCGTCAGCTGCCATGATATGCTCCACCACTGATGCCACACCCGAGCATGATGGGCAGCCAACTGAAGCGGACCTCTTGCTGGAATCTAGACTAGCCGCTGCACAGCAAGCATGTATGCAGCTAGAAGAGGAAGCAATCCGCAATGGCATGGTGGACTTTTCGCTCTCGGTGCTTGTGAATCACGAGAGGCTGGACACCATTGGTGAAGTTGTCCAAAGACAGCCAAATATCAAGATTGGTAGCTATCGTGGCCGCGAGAGGAGATATACGAGGAGCACGGGAAATCTGGGCATTGACGAAGATTGCTATGAAGACTTTGGCTCCTCCATGTCGTCCGTCTTTTGTTACCCAGTCCGATGATTCATGGCTGACTGCTGATATTTCTTCGTCCATGAGAGTTGGGTTGCCGTCCTTGGTTTACGTATTTTGGGTTGTAAATAGGAGCAGCATTCTTTGAGCGTGGGGCGCTTTTGGCTGCAACTGTACTCGGCTTTTTGGTCTAGTTGTCGCTTGGGGCGGGCCGCATGTGTGGCGACGGATGCTCTAGAGTCTTCATGTTTTTCTCATTAAGTTATTGGTGTTGCTAAACTGTTAAAATGCATATTCATGGGGTTGCCCGCTTCCTTTCTCCAATCTTTGTCGCCCGTCAACTGCACAAGTTGCTCACCGTGTTCCCGGTAAGTTATTGTCTGCCTCACAATATTTTCAGGTTCAAAGACCGGTTACGCCGCGGGATCCACCAGCCAGTTTGAACTTATAGTGGGCAGCAGGGCCTGTAAAGGACGGGAACTTGCCCCGGACTCTCCGTGGAGCGTTTTGGCGCAGCGCCAGATCGCCGTGTGGGGGCTTTCGGCTCACTGATAAGCCACTCCACAGAGCCAATAGCGGCCGCCACAGTGTGCTGGAAAAGCCCGCCAATGACGTCGCAGACCTCCGAAGCTCCCGCCAGCTGCCGCTGCAAACAAATCGGTTGCTTGGTCTTTTAATCCTCCCGGCCCCAAAGGCAAGCTTGCGTCTTGATTTTTATTTTTATTTTTGCTAGCTCCCTCATTACACCACCATCTCCCCCCTCATACACAGGATTCCCCTGTTCCCGTACATATCCCTCGGTCTAGCCTCTAATTGCTTCATCTACCATCTGCAATGGCGTCCAACCAGGTTCCCAACTTCACGCCCAGCGACTATGTCAAGTTCTTCAGCGCGGGTGCCCTCGCTGCCACCCTCACCCACGGCGTAAGCGCTCCCTTAAGCTGCCCAATGCGACTAGCAAGCTAATATGACGTGTTTCTGTACAGGCTGCGACCCCAATTGATGTGGTCAAGACGAGAATCCAAGTCGACGATGCAATGAAGGGCATGAACATGGTCCGCGCCGCGCGCACCATCATCGCCAACGAAGGCCCCGCCGCCCTGCTCACCGGCTTTGGCCCTACTGCTGTCGGCTATCTCGTCCAGGGCGGTGGTAAATTCGCCGGATACGAATTCTTCAAGAAGAAGTTTATCGAGCTTTCGGGCGGCCCTGAAAAAGCAATCCCCAACCGTACGGCGATTTACCTCGGTGCCAGCGCCACGGCCGAATTCTTTGCCGACATCCTGCTTTGCCCTCTCGAGGCTACCCGCATTCGCCTTGTTTCGCAGCGCGGCTTCGCTACCGGCTTGACGAGCGGCTTTATGCGCATTGCTAGAGAAGAAGGCCTTCGCGGCTTTTACTCTGGGTTTGTCCCCCTCCTGTTCAAGCAGGTTCCGTATGCTGTCGGCCAGTTCTCCGTCCACGAGGGTGTCAACGAGGTCATTTTCCGCAGCATGGGAGCTGAGCGCAAGGCCAAGCTCACACAGCTCGAATCTACCGGTGTGGAGCTGACGTCCGGTATTATTGCTGGTGCTGCCGCTGCCGTGCTCTCCCACCCCGCCGATACGCTCCTCTCTGCTATGAACAAGGGCGCTGGTGACCCCAAGCAAGGTGCTACGAGCAGGATGTTTCAACTAGCCAAGGAATTCGGCCCGAAGCGTCTGTTACTAACTGGTCTTGGGCCCAGATTGGTCATGACTTGCGGTCTCGTCTCTGGCCAGTTTGTCATTTACGCCCAGTGCAAGGCACTAACTGGAGCCCCTCCTGGTATTGAAATCCATAAGGAGGCTGATATTTAGAAGGAAGCAAGTTTGGGCTTCACGTTAATTTATTTTGTTACAATGTTGGACACGGCGTTTGGCGTGGGTTGATGGCATCTATACAGACGGACGGATTCGGTACTCTAGGTCCTACAATCACGATTTTATTTTTACATCGACTTTTGTCTGCGCGCTTCCAGCTCTAGACTCGCATCTGGAAACTCTTGTTAGACTAGAGTACTAATAGTAGCAGGCCGTATTGTCATCGATCGTTGGTAATCTGCCGGTGTCTAGATGCTCCTATACACTGAGTCTGATTCTCAAATACTACGGATGGAGATGTATCTGCCGTCACATTACCATCCCGAAACGAATAATGAGCGCCGTGCCATTCACAGATATCAACATCGGGGCGAGACTGCAGACGTGTTTTAAAATATCGGTAAGGCTACTTCGGTTCAACCTACCTTTGAATATAATGAATTAAATGAAGGTGAAATAAGATAAATACACCTAACATTGTTTAGTGCTGCTAAATTATCACCAACAGATATTGGTCCTGAAGAGCTTTCGTTTACAACCGGCCAAGTTTCTTGTTTGGTACGGCAGAGCCTTTGCTGGGGTAGAAGATACGGGATTGCTTTTGCTACGACCAACACAAAACCAGTGTACTAGATGATTTGCATGTGCATCGTTAACTTTGTAAAATTGTGCATATACCGTGGGACCACCCCTCTCTGTCAAATGTAATTCCAACACAAGACGTTATAGGTCACCAAGTTATGTAAGTTTACTGTAACTGAACGCCCACCTGCCGCTTCTAGATCACAGCTTCTTCCTAAAAGGGTTTAGCGCCTCAGTTTCTAATGCCGGTATTGGCGTGGGGCGTTCTGGAGCGCTAACGATTCAAGCCTCTCCAGGCGCAGAGGCTGCTGTAACCATGTTTCCACAGGGGCTGGAGTAAGCCTACAGCGCTCCACTGCCTGCCTGAGTATGGCAGCCACCAGCCCCAAGTTTGCCACGAACGCAAATCGCAAATCCGTCCTCGTGCCCCCTTGTGCTTGCGACTTCACTAGCAACTTGCATCGCCAAATCTCGACTCTTTCTTTATTTAGCAATCGTGTCGGCGACATTTGATCATCTCTTGGGTACGTTTTGACATCATCAGTCTATACTCCGCCCCCCTTGAAAGTCCAACCCTGCCGTCACAGCGCCCGACGCTTCTGCCTTGTTTCGCACTTGGGCTGCGCCCTGACGTGGCCTCATTAAACATCACTCTTCTACCAATCTCTGGAGCCTGAAACACACCCTGTGCCGACTTTTTGGCTAACAAACTGCCTCAAGCGGTTCTTTATCCTGTTAAGCACTAGCGACGACCATATAGAAGTTTTGATCCCATTGTACATACACATTCGCACTCGCCTTCTTGACCGTCCGTCCAGGTCACACCATGAAGGCCACTCTCCTTGGCCTCCTTGGCCTGGCAACCTTGTCGACTGCTCACATACACCGCGACTACGACAACAACGATTACTATGTCCTCCATCTTGACCAGAATACGCACCCCGATGGCGTAGCGTCCCGTATCGGGATGAGGCACGAGGGCCAGCTGAGCACACTCGACGACCACCACATCTTCAGCACCACAAAGCACGACCATGACGTCGTACGACGACAACTCCACGAGCGAAGACGGACAAAACGCAGTGTTGGCGGCTATGATGTCCTGGATGGCGTTCGCATCTCCCAGAAGCAGCAAGCCCGCATGATGGCAAAACGCGAGATTCCTCCACCCCCCAACGGCTACTATCCCCGACAGGAAGATCCGAAGGTGTGGGCAGCGAAGAACCAGAAGAAGCTCATGGCTACCCTTGGCATTGCGGACCCAATCTTTCACGACCAATGGCATCTATACAATACCGTTCAGATTGGCCACGACGTCAACGTCACAAATGTCTGGCTCGAAGGCGTTACCGGAAAAAACGCCACTGTTGCCATTGTGGACGACGGTCTCGACATGCACTCCAAAGATCTGAAAGACAACTACTTTGCCGAAGGCTCTTGGGACTTCAACGATAACGACCCCGAACCGGCCCCTGAGCTCGCTGCTGACACGCACGGCACCCGTTGTGCTGGAGAGGTTTCCGCCGTCAAGAATGAGATTTGCGGTATTGGTGTGGCATACAATTCGAAAATCGCCGGTATTCGTATCCTCAGCAAGCCCATCAGCGATATGGATGAAGCGGCTGCCATGATTTACAAGTATGACAAGAACCAAATTTACTCCTGCTCCTGGGGACCCCCTGACGATGGCCGATCTATGGAAGCCCCCGGCTTGCTCATCAGACGTGCCATGCTCACCGGCATTCAAAAGGGCCGTGGTGGCCTTGGATCCGTATATGTGTTTGCCAGTGGCAATGGCGCTGCCTCTGACGACAACTGCAACTTTGATGGGTACACAAATTCCATTTACAGCATTACTGTCGGTGCCGTCGATCGCGCCGGCAATCACCCATACTACTCAGAACTATGCTCTGCACAGCTCGTTGTGACGTATAGCAGTGGAGCTGGCGATACTATTGTATGTTTACCAAGATCAGATCTGCAATCTTCTATACTAATATCTCAATAGCACACGACAGATGTGGGAGAAAACAACTGCGCGAGCAACCACGGCGGTACATCAGCCGCTGCACCGCTTGCTGCTGGTATCTTTGCATTGGTCATGGAAGTTCGTCCGGATCTTACCTGGCGTGATATGCAGTACCTTGCTCTTGAGACCGCCGTCAAAGTGCAGGACAAGGATGCTGAATGGCAAAAGACAGCCATTGGCAAACACTTTTCTCACACTTATGGCTACGGCAAGGTTGACTCATACAGCATCGTCCAACTTGCCAAAACCTGGGCCAAGGTCAAACCGCAGGCATGGTACTTTTCCCCTTGGCTGCATGTGCGCAAAGATATCCCCGAGGGCAAGGATGGCCTTGTTGCCACTTTTGAGGTCACTGAAGATATGCTCAAGGAGGCTAACCTGGCCCGACTCGAGCACGTCACAGTGACAATGAACGTGGAACACACACGCCGTGGTGATCTCAGCGTCGATTTGATCAGCCCTGACAACATCATTAGCCACATCGCCACCGCTCGTAAGAATGACGAGTACAAGGCTGGATACGAAGACTGGACCTTTATGAGTGTCGTTCATTGGGGAGAGCGTGGTGTTGGCAAATGGACTATTATTGTTCGCGACACAGTTGCCAACGGCAAAACTGGCAAATTCGTAGACTGGCACCTGAAGCTTTGGGGCGAGTCCATCGATGCCAGCAAAGCAACTCTTTTGCCAATGCCCACAGACAAGGATGACGAGGACCACGACAAGGATATTCCCGTCGTCACCACTACTGCCGCCGTAACTAACCTGCCTCCCCAGGCCACAGGCCCGGATGCTGTGGAAGGCAGCAGCGTCCCCAGCGACCACCCAGAACGCCCGACCAAGCCCACGGAGCATGAGACTGCTAACAAGCCTGCATCATCGTGGGTCTCGTGGCTCCCTACCTTTGGTGCCTCGAAGAAGGCTCAGATCTGGATCTACGGCGCCATTGGTCTGATTGGCGCCTTCTGCACCGGCCTCGCCGTGTACTTTTACCTTGCGCGCCGCCGCCGCCTCCGCGAATCGCGCAACAACTACGACTTTGAGCTTATTGACGAGGAAGAGGGCGAGGGTCTCAGCGGCGCCGAAAAGGGTGCCGGCAACAAGAGGACGCGTGGTGGCGAACTGTACGATGCGTTTGCGGACGGTAGCGATGATGAAGAAGATGATGACGATGAGTACGATGCGTATAGAGACCGCTCCGCCGAGAAGTTGGCGGGCATCCCTGGCGAGAGAGACGCCGACCAGCACCAGCAGCAGCACGTCATTGGCGGCGATAGCGACGATGAGTCTGACAGAGAAGTTGTCCCACTGCGCCGCTAAGTGTTTTATTATTTCTAGGAGACGCTTGCTTTTTTTTTTCGTCTTTCGTAGTTCATGGTAGTTGCACGGTGGAGCTGCTTTTGATTAACTAGGAGTATTCATTGGAGCCTCTGTTTAATTAGACTTTTATGCATTCAAAAAGAGAGAGTCAGGTCCTTTTCATAGTCCTGCCAGCTATCCAGTACCATATCAGTGTCAAACCGCCATGATCAATAACTGCCACAGCAATAGCAATAGTATTAGCGGTACAAAGACGCAAATGGTAAGGCAGCAAAACGTTGTACTTGATTATAATAATATCCATGCAATGTAAACAAAAGCTGCGCCAGATGGGGCCTTCGTATCGGATGTATAAAATATGTGGCTAAAGAAGAACAAACTCTGGGGTTCCCGGAATGATGTTGATAACTGTAACGGCATATGACACGACAGTCTACTTGCTTTCCATTTCGTTAATGTAGCCAGTCCAAACGTCTGCCACCTTATCGTAAAAGTCGACGTGGGCATCCGCTAGACCCTGCAACTGGGCCTTCATTTCCAGGCGCTTGATGCGCTCAAAGTCGGCGACTTCACGAACAACCTCTTCGTTAAACATCTCACTCGTCCGTCTGGCCAGCTCCACCTCGTGGGTTAGTTCGTCGACACGCAGCTCCAACTTTCGCGTTCGCTCACGCCGCGCCTGCTCGTGGTCCACGCCACGGACGTCTTCGAGCTTACTGCGCAGAAAGCCCCCCGGGCCTGATGACTGGTGGCCCGACTGCAGCTGATCACGCTCTATTGTAGATTTGTTGAGGTACTCTGTCAGCTGCTCAAAGTCGAGCTGCTTCTGCTCGCGGGCGCGTAGCAGGTGCTTGACAGACAGCGAGTAGGCCTGCATATCGCGTAGCGATCCGAGGTAGTCGTGATCTGTAATGTCTTTGAGCTGGTGGATGTGTTGGGCCGTGTCCTCTATCGATGCTGCAAACCCGTGCACGGCAGGCTCAACGCCAGGCTCGAGGGCCACCAGCTTCTGGAACTGCTCGGCCAGATCGCGCATGTCTACTTCCAAGTCACCTTCTCTGCGGGCCACGCGGGCTACCACTTTTTCAATGTGTGCTAGATCTTCGTCTAGCCTGTCGCTCTTGTCCTTAACCTCGATGAAGCGGCGATCGGGCTTGTTGACCTTGGTAAAGGCGTTGATAAAGGTATCGGCAAAGTTATCAAAGACGCCGCTTGCGCCACCGGCCGAGCTGGGGTCACCCGCGACGCTGGCTCTGTTGTTTCTGCTGCGCACAGTGGCGTTCCAGTCATTGCTCTCGAGGAAATGGTGGAGGATCGGGGCGCGGCGCAGTACCGGGTGCAGGGAGAGGCGGACGAGGAAGCGCTGTAGCGAGTTGGCTCGGCGGGATGTGAAGTCGGGTCCAAAGCGGTCGCCGCGGACATATTCCATGCGCAGTTTGTCGGGGAGAGGCGGCACAGCGGCGGCGGGGAACTCGCGCTGGAGTTGCTTATAGAGAAAGACAAAGTCTGTGAAGCGGCGGCGAACTGTGGTGGTGCCTTTTTGGAAGGATGAGAAGGAGGACTGTTTTGGTGGTGGCTGAGTTAGCAAGACGTGGCAGGGGTAAGAGGGAAGTGGACAGATCAGTTGTGCTCACTTTTGTGGTGACTAGATAGGAGATGAATGCGTCCTTTGTGCCGTCATTCTCCTTGATGGGTGTGCCAACGGTGCAGTCGAGCTGCTCTTCGCCCATGGCGTGGCCACCGGTAGCAGCGCTGTGGCCGCCTACCTCGGCACCAGCAGATATTGTAGGCTTGAAGTCGTCGTCTGAGGTGTATGCTTGCATGTTTTCTGGCTCGGGTGGCTCGCTCCAAGACACGTTGGAGAAGTTGTCGTTGTCGTCGGCCATGACGGAGAGGAAGGAAGCTAAGGCGGTAGACGAAGCAGCAGTGGCGTTGATGCAGTCTCGTATATCGAATAAATTATCGGATTTAGTTGAAACAAAAGACGCCGTGCGTCGCCTTGCAATGCGGAATATTCGCGGCCAACGGATGTGAGAAGCTGGTGATGTTCGAGGCGGAGTTCAATGTGGGGGAGATGCATCACTGCTTCGTTGCCGCCCACGTCACTCTACTAACAATCACCATGCTGTCACCTATGGGGCCCAGCCAGCACGCACTGCGCTGCCTTGGTTGTGGTTCTGCTGACGTAACATTTTCAGTGAGGCGGACCGACTACCCTCTAGGAGGGCCAAACCTGTAACATGAATCAATTTACGATGAACATGAAGAACAAATAAAAGAAATGGAGTACAATTCTAGACATTAACCATGTATGAGAAGAAATGCTACGACAAAATTTTCAGGAGACGGGACAAAACAAGGTGTAGAGGCAACCAGGTGATGCATCGACAATACATCTCACGACAAAGATTGTATTTGACACCAGCTTCAACAAGACGAGACTCGGGGGTTCAATACAAAATTTCAGACACTAACTAAAAATGCCAGTAGACTCATACAAATTATAGATGCCATTTCCATCTAGAAAACTACAGCTTCGCCGATACCCCTTTAGCTTCATTGATGCTCTCTTCTCGCAGAATTCGCTTTAGAATTTTGCCGCTTGCATTTTTGGGAATTGATTCGACAAACTTGACACCTCCCGTCAATGCCTTGTACTTGGCCAGCTTGCTACGGCAGTATTCTTTGACATGCGTCTCTGTCAAGGCTTGACCTTTGTCACCAGGCCGGCGAACCACATAGGCGCGCGGTTGTTCTCCATCTGCGCCGTCCACGGGAATACCAATTACAGCGGCATCAACAATTTCCGGGTGGGCGAGGAGCACAGCCTCAATCTCTGGAGGCGCGACCTGGAATCCACGGACCTTGATAAGCTCCTTCTTGCGATCGACAATATACCACTTCTTGCCCTCTGCGCTGCAGTATCCGATATCACCCGTCTTGTACCAGCCGTCTGCATCAAAGCTCTCTGCATTGGCTTTTGGGTTTTCAAAATATCCCGGAGTCATGGTTGGGCCACGAAGACAAATCTCTCCACGCACATCGTACGCCGAGATGTCCTTGCCATTGTCATCGATCAGTCTAGAGGTAGGTGTTAGAAAACGTATCAACAAGAATATTCTGTGAGAGAGGGCACATCACAAAAGGCAAATATGATAAGAAAAGCAACACCTACTTGAGCTGGACATTGGGAATGGGTCGGCCGACTGACCCAGTGAAGTCCGGTTCGTCATAGGGAAAGATCGTGGCCACGCACGATGCCTCTGTCATACCCCATACTTGATTAACAACAGCGCCCTTAGCCAGCATCTGAAGAAACCTGTTTTGGAGATCCTTGTCTAGCGGTGCAGCTCCACAGATGGCGTATCGGACGCTCTTCATAAACTTTCTGGTATGTGCGAAGGGGGACATAACGATGCCGACGACCATGGGAGGCACAACATTAATTTCTGTCACCTGGTACTTTTCGTTAAATTGCAAAAATGCTTCCAATTCGAATCTGCGCATCATGTACACGCTGTGACCGAGGGCAAGCGCTCCAACATGCGTAACGGGAGCAGCAGCAGCGTGGAATATAGGTATGGCAACGACACGAGAAATCTAACCAGCTTCATAAGTAACAGGAATTGGCGGCGATCGAAAGGTCTGAATAAGACTTACGTGGTAAGGTCGCGGGAAAGCAGTATACACCAGCTCTTGTTGCGCAATCATGTTGTAATGTGTTATTACGACCGCTTTGGGTAGACCAGTGGTGCCACTGCTGAAGAGTCTAGCTGCTGTTGTGGTGCGTGCGGTTTCCAAGTCATCGAAGCGAACCCAGTCCTCCTCACCGTAATTGAACAAATCTCGCCACGAGCGATGGGTCTTTGGCGTATCTTGGTTTAGGGGATCAAAGATCCAGACGTTGCGCTCAGGGATCTGGTTTTGCTTCGCGGCATCGAGGAGCGGTGCCAAAATAGCCGACTCGGATATCAGAAAGCTACACCGCGCTGTCTTGATGTGATGGGAGAGTTCTGCTGCTGTGTATGATGGATTGGTGCCTGTGAAGACACCGCCAGCGCCGATAATGGCCAGCACAAGCATGGAGTAGTAGATCTGTGTCGCCTGTAGTCAGTAACTCGTGTACGGCACGGTCATACGTTCCGATTATTTCTGAGAGGAGGGACATCATCGAAAATACATACATCATTGAAGGAGTGAATTCCAACACAGTCTCCAGGCTTGACGCCCGCAGCCCGCAGCCCAGCAATTAGAGAGCGAATGATACGACGCGCCTGATTGCACGAGATGCTGCGCTCGGGGTGGTAGGCATCAACATAGATCTACACACATTGTTAGTATGGGAACCTTGGGGAGGAAGTAGCGTTCTATTGTAGCAGTACTAACGGCTTGGTTCTGATCGTATTTTGGATTGTCGAAAATATACGACAAAATATCCTTTGTAGGCACAGGAAACTCGAAGGTCTGAAACATGGCGAAGGGCCTGTTCACGCAGCACAAAGGATACGAAGAAAAGTGAGAATCTAATAGCGATGAAGGCACGGCTTCAATTGACACCAAATAGAGCGATGTCGGCGTATTGAATTGAGCTGCTATAGGGAGTATCTCAAAGTTGCTAGAGCTAAGGTCGGTAAGTAGCCGAGGCTACGTATCTATGTAGGTAGGCATCGTGGATTTTGCGGGGTAAGCTAACAGGTAGTGGAAGATGAGGCTGGCAAAGGCAACAAGCGTATAGCCGGATTCAAAGCTACAAGCAAAGAGCCGACTGGAGAGTTCTTTCTTTTTTTTTGGACGCACTTATCAGGAATCCGCGGAGACTATATTGAGACAGCCGCGGACTTTGAGGCGAATTATACATTAACCGTTTGAGGCAAAGAGTTGCCGAAATCACAATAATAGTACGTAGCGCTGTAGCGTAACATTAAAAAAAAGATCAATTCATTTCCGTACCATACAATTGTAGCCAGGAAATGCCAAAACTTCTCAGGGCTAAGTGTCGGAATCGGTCCTCTTCTAATAGTCCGCGAAAGTTTGGCCTTCAGCGCCTCCAAATGTGTCTCAGTTATCCTAAGACAGCCAGAACATCTTTGGAGACGTGCCTGAATGATGCCCAAAATACGAATCTCTCTGCTTGCGTATATTGATAGCAGCGACGATGACGGTACGATACAAAACCGCGGTTTCTAAATCCGCAACGTAGCTATACATAGAAAAATATTCCAAAAAGGACCAACACTGATGATGTATAAATAAACAGAATAGCTTGGGCAGGACAATTTGTAGTCTTGTCAGTTCCGCGTCAAAGTATGCGCAGCTGCAACCAGCCCTACCATGCTCGCCGCTGAATACCTGTTCATCTACAATTTTGACGCCGACACCATCAAACCTGTCCGGTTTTTAAATGCTTGTTCAGCCTCCTGCTGAATCCGATTTACTAGCACACTACACGTAGGAATATCGTGAATGAGTCCAATCACCTCACCAGTAGTCCATACCTATACAATTGTTAACATCAACGAAACTCCAACTCATTTCTTGCATAACTTACACCGAACTCAGGATCGCCATTGATAAAGACCTCCTTGCCTCTCTTCCCACTCACGTACGGAGCCACCTCTGCAAATTCGCCCGTGGTGCTCTCGCGCTCAATCTTTAGCGCCGCCTCCGTGACCTTGTTCTTATACAAGCGCGACGTGTTTTTCCACCGCCTCAGGAGCAGCGTCGTATCCGTCTCTTGCGCCTTGACAATCTCGCGCTTAATATTCTCATGCACCGGTGCCTCGACAGTGCACAGGAACCGCGTGCCCATGTTGATGCCGCACGCTCCGAGCATCAGCGCGGCGGCAAGCCCCCAGCCATCAGCAAACCCGCCACTAGCAATAAAGGGAACACGGAGTGTTTGGCGCGCCTTGCTAAGAAGGATGAAATTGGTAATGTCCGATTCGCCAATATGACCGGCGGCTTCGAAGCCGTCAATGGATAGGAAATCTACGCCGAGCTTCTCGGCCGACAGGGCGTGCTTGATGCTGGTGCATTTATGCATGACAATGACGCCTGCTTCCTTGAGCTGCTTGATAATAGGGCCAGGTGAATGGCCAGCAGTTTCGACAATCTTGACTCCCTCATCGATAATCGTCTGCGCCAGCGCGGGGTAGTCAGGATTCAGCGTCGAGGGGAGCAGCGTCAGGTTGACGGCAAATGGATTCTTGGTAAGTGTTTGACAGCGACGGATCTCGGCAGCCAAGGCTGTAGGCGTTAGGAAAATGAGGCCGGTGATGATACCTAGCCCACCAGCGTTGGATACTGCAGCGGCGAGGTCGGCCGTCCCAACGTGCATCATGCCGCCTTGGACCACGGGGACACGGATGCCCAATCGCTTGGTGAGCTCCGTTACAAATGGCATATTTATGGTTAATATGTATGATGATTCGTGTGTTTGTGGTGGCCAGCAATCGTTGAGGAATGTCTGCAAACGGTAGATGGCATAAACAAGAAGCCTCCCTTGTTGGATGCAACGGATGTAATACCGTGATGTTTGGTCTTGTGTGCAGTGTAGGTGTATAAAAGCAAATGAAGTCGTGAACTTTCAATAGTCTCTCAAAACAATAGTTGGACAAGCCTCAATGCTTGTTCCAGTTGTCTTTGTTGGTATTGTCAGTTTGGTAGGTAGGCCGTAGGCTAACCCACCGATACCGAGGTTATAGCCGACTCAGTCTAACACTGAATATGTAAGCTGTTGGCTGGGTGCTGCTTGGGTTACGGCTTCGGCAGAAAGTAAACAAAAAGAGAGAGTAACTAAACACACGGCGGTTTTGCATTTAATTTGGTGCCTTTTGAATTTGAATTTTAGTATTTTTATGCCGGCGCTGTACTTGGTTTGACCTAGTTCTTCTTTATACGACCGCATTCTGGGTCTAGATTAGATGACATCACCAAGCTAAACCCTATACTACATGAGGGCCTTTCATAATGTTACCTATGAAATTTGGTCGCATTTCGTAGCATTTCGTAGCATTTCGTAGTATTTCGTAGTATTTCGTAGTATTTCGTAGTATTTCGTAGTATTTATTTTTACAACTTTTCAAACGTTGGTTTTCTTTTCTTCAACGCGCTTGTAATGCCCTTCTTTGTATCATCAGAGAGCACCATCGTGCCATTCCACGCCGCTGTGTATAGGAGACCATCTGCGACTGGGCGATCTCTACTAAAATCCCAGAGCGCCTTTGCGCTTTGCACAGCAACAGGACTCTTTGTCGCTACCTCTTTGGCCCAAGACAGCGCCGCTTCCACCATTTCCTGCTTGGTATCAAACACCCTACTGACGAGGCCAACACGCAGCGCCTCGTCACCTCCCACCACTTTGCCCGCGTAAATGACTTCTTTTGTCCATGAATAGGAGACGCCTAGCTTGGGCATTCTGGAAAGGGCTCCTACATCAGGAGCCAAACCGACGTTAATCTCCTGTAGGCATAGTTTCATGTCTCTCGTCGCGTAGCGCACGTCGGCGGCTGTAGCAAAGTTAATCCCCGCCCCAAAGGCAACACCATGCATGAGGCAGATGATGGGCTTCTCGCAGCGCTCCAGCGATGTCACGGATTCTTGGTAGCTTAGGGCATGTCTTCTAACGTCCCATGACTGTCGTGGAAAGTCCCTGTCCGTGTTTGGGGCACCCACTGGGCCGGTGGAGGACGACTCTTCTACATCAAGCCCGGCGCAGAATCCGCGGGGTCCAGCGCCAGAGTATACGATTACACGGACGTTGGGATCGTATGACAGGAGATTGAAGACTTGGCGAATTTCGTGGAACATTCTGCACTTTCGTGTTAACTTTACAGGTGGCCATTTAGGGCGATTGATGGATACACAGCAGTACGTACTCATGATTGAAGGCATTTAATTTACCTGGTCGATTTGTCTCGACATGCGCAACAAATAGAGCGGGAAAGGTGGTGCGGAAGAAGGTAAACTGCTCATACGGAGCAGATGGAGAAACCATGTTTCAATCTCGTGCAAAGTTAGAGGATTAAGAGGTTGTCATTGAAGAGTTGTGAAAGCTGCATTCATCGTATACCCAGTGAGGAAGCTAGCGTAGCATTCAGAGTTGGGTCTTCGTGTTAGCGTGGCTGCTGAGTAACATCTTCTAGAACATCTTCCGCACGAGCAACTACACAAAACTCGTTGGATTAAATGTGCAAACTAATTTTTGAAAGCCTCTACTTCTCTTTCCCTTCTGAATATCTTTCCTATTAGAATCCAAAGTTTACAACTGAGCTGCCACGGCTTGTCAGCCAGTACTACCCATCAACCCGTTGCCTCGGTACATGCGTCGCCGAGGACACTCGCATTACAATGCCCTCAAAGAAGTGACTTCTATTTCCAATTTATCAAATTTAATATGCCATTTTCATTCGGGAGGTGTGGAATTTGAAACAAAACGGTGCACGGCGTATCGGTTGCTATTTGCGTCCATGTACTCACTACCTACGCACCATTTGAGGTTTCCTGCAATCTGTCCACGAGCGAAAGGGAGCAAATTCAATAGTTGCACACTCAATTTATCATTCCCTAAATAATCCATCCTATCCAACTACAAATGCGACTGCCCGCCCATCAGCTTTACTCCTCCACCCTGCATGCAATACTTGCTCGTTTCTTTAATCTTTGTCTGGAACACGACAGTTTCACCCACCTTCCACATCTCCGTCTGCAACGTCTGTCCCGGATTAACCGTGCCTGCAAATCGGGCTTTGATACTCTTAATCGGCCCATACTGGGTAAAAATGTGCTTTCCCGCAATGCCGAAGCTGCACAGCCCATGAAGAATAGGCTTATTGAAGCCTGCCGACGTAGCCGTAGCCGGATCAACATGTAACGGGTTCCTATCGCCACTTAATCTATAGAGGGCCGCCTGGCCTACTGTCGTTGCCTCCTCGACGACGAAGTCTGGTGCACGCGCAGGTGGGTCGTAGGAGATGTTGCCTGGGCTTTTGGCCGCTCTGTTTCGCTGGCCGCCAAAGCCTCCGGAGTCACGGATAAAGAGGGACATTTCATTGTAGAAGACATCCTCACCCGTAGTAGCATCCTTTGTATCGATACCCACGACAACGACAGCTGCTTTGCCTTTGTCTGCGACTTCGATCAGTCGTGGGTATGATATAAGAGTGGCGGCTGTCGGAATAGGAAACTTGCGGATTTCAAGGTACTGGTCTCCGTGTAAGAGCATGCCAAAATTGAAATTGGGCACAATGTCGGCCAAATCGAAGGGCTTATCTGCCGAAGGGCCGGAGATTACACCGTAGGTAGGCAGAACCTGGAAGTTGGGATCCTTCTCATAAATGAGCGAGAGCTGATCCTGCGTGGCCCCCAAACCCAGATTGTAGAGGATGACTTCGGTATCGGTATAGACGAACTTGATCCCGGGGGATTTAATAGCCTGGGCCCGTTCAATGGCGGCCAAGTAGTCCTTTTGCTGTGAGCTGCGTTTAGCCACGAGATCACCGCGTGCCAGGGCGTGGAAGCGCGAGTCCTCTGGCAGCTCGGGGTTGTCTGCCCGGCCATCGTTAAAGTCGACAACCTTAGACCACTGAGCCAGAACGGTCTCAGGATCCAGTGCCTTGTCGGGGGAGAAGTTGTGTCCGCCAGACCGCTGCCAGCGAGTTCTGGCTTGCCAACCGCATCCTGCCTCAAAGATTTGACCTATTGCTGTGGTTGGAGCCTTTTCGGAGCACAGAGCAAGGACAATACCGGAAACATAGTCTGGCTTGCGGGCTTGAACCAATTCCTCAGGCAGGACTGTTCTTGTAAGTTGCGTTCCTGCAAATGGTGCAATGCTGTTTACGAGAATGTTGTATCGTTTTCCCTCGGCTGCCAAAGATCGAGAGAGGCCTACAACCGCCGTTTTCTAGTATTAAATATTCAGTATATACGTTCAAGCTCTGGTGCACTCATATATATATACGTACCGCAGATGCGTAGTTGGCTTGACCGAAGTTTCCATAAGTGCCACTGGTGCTCGTGGTATTTATAATACGGCCATATTTCTGTTTAACCATATACGGCCATGCCGCATGAGCGCACTTGTATGAGCCTCGCAAGTGGACATTGTGGATGTCATCCCACAGGTTATCGGTCATGTTGGCGAACGCCTTGTCGCGGAGGATGCCGGCATTGTTGATGAGGATATCAACGCGACCGAAGTTGTCAATGGCCGTCTTGATAATCTCATCACCGTTCTCTACAGAGGATCTGTTGGCAACAGCCAGTCCGCCTGCCATAATGATTTCCTTCACCACGGTATCTGGATCGGCAAGATCATTTACCACGACCTTCGCTCCAAAATAGGCAAGCTTCAAGCTATAAGCACGACCCAGTCTATTCAAGATTTGTTAGCACTCTTTATGACATTTTATCCGCGGTCTCCGGACTCACCCAGCTCCGCCACCAGTAACAACAGCGACTCTGCCGTCAAAGCGGACGTTCTCGCCAATGGGATTTCTATCAATCTTAACCGCTAAGGACTGCAAGTACTCCATGTCCGGATTGGCGCCGCTGTGATCCGGCTTGGAAAAGTCGTTAACAGCTTGCCATTTTGCCAGGACTGCTCCTGGTGTCATCGTTTCATCCGGCTTCAGAAGAGCACCTGTCGATCTCTCCCATCGCAGTTTGCAAACATGTGTCGCGCCGACCTCAAAGATAGAGCCGTTTTCGAATGTGTTGGCGGAGTGAACAAGCATCGCAACAACCGGAACGACCCAGGCTGGCGATAACTGAGCTGCTAGGTCAGGTGGGATAACACCTCCAGATAAGCGGCTGGCGGCCATGGGAGCAATCACATTGGTCAAGATGTTGTATTTGGCTCCCTCTTTAGCAAGTGTCTCTCCGAAGCCGATCATGCCTGCTTTGGCAGCCGAATAGTTGCTTTGGCCGAAATTGCCATACAAGCCTGTCGCCGAGCTTGTCATAATGACACGTCCGTATTTCTGTTTACGGAAATGCGACCAGGCTGCCCGTGTGGTCTTGTAAGTGCCGCGCAGGTGCACGCTGTAGACAGCATCCCAGTCCCTGTCCGTCATTTTCCTGAATGTGATATCTCGGAGAATGCCGGCATTGTTAATGAGGATATCAATACGACCGAATGCTTCAATCGCCTTGTCGATGATCCTATTGCCATTTTCCACGCTCTCGTAGCTGGCAACAGCCTTGCCACCAGCCGCTACAATATTTTCAACGACGACATCCGCAGCCTGTATTCTAATTAGCATTTGCAAGATATCAGAACGGCAAGTTATAGCGTACCTTTGTGCTGGATCCTTGGCCACTTGTTGATCCTCCCAAATCATTCACTACAACGCTGGCACCTCTTGCGGCCAAGAATTCAGCATAGGCACGGCCAAGACCAGCACCAGCGCCGGTTACAACGGCGACTTTTCCATCATATCGAAGGTCGGACATTGTTCAACAGACTGATAGTGGGAGAAATACAGCTATCTAGAGCACAATTGTTCGTTGCGCTTTGTGCAGACCATGCGTTCGGCGGCCAGTAGATGTCGCATGGACTATCCGCGGAGCTTCATATAGGCTAACCAATATCCAAAGAGTCCGCTGTCCGGCTATGACGACATGCCACAGCTGTGCTGCTGCATTAGCTGTTGGTGGTAGTAGCGTGACCAGCCTTAGCTACATGAGCTATCTTGGTCGCCTCGGCTACTTTACCTGCGAGTGGTAGCCTCGGGATCTGGATTCCCGCGGCGTTTGGTTGTGATTATTGTGAAATTGATGCCCTGACTATATATTAGATGAATTAATTATAACTAGTAATCTATCAACATATGAAACATATGAGGGAGTTGTGGCTCAAGTGGTGTTGATGGTTGTAAATCGTAGACGTGCTTCACTTACGCTTAGCGTCAAGTAGGCGAGTCCAACCCCCTCCCACACTAAATATTTACTACCATCACCCGTTTTATTACCATTGTACGCAGCATCAACATTAAAATAGCACAATTCTAACAGCACAAAATTATGGCTTCGAAATCCTCTGTTCCAGTTCCCTTCTCGGATCCAGCATGGCTGCGCGGGCTCCCATCGCCATACTACAACGAGTCGCATCGCGCCTGGCAAAAGACATGCCGCAACTTTATGGAGAAACATGTTACACCGTACGCCCTAGAATGGGAGGAATCTGGCGAAGTCCCAGAATCTGTCTTCGAGATCTTCTCCAAGAGCAACATGCTGATTCCTAATATCCCTGCGCCGCTGCCAATCAAGTTGCTGCATAGTCTCGGGATCCACGAACTGCCTGGTGGTCTCAAGGTGGAAGATTTCGACTACTTTCACTTCTCCATCTACGTCAATGAAATGCGCCGCGTGGGAGTGCAAGGCATCCAATCGTCTCTGATCACCGGTATGGCGTACGGATTGCCGCCCTTACTCGCTTATGCTAGCCCTGAGCTGCAGCAGCGATTCGTGCCACAGGTCATTAAAGGAGAGAAGCGCATGTGCATTGCAATTACAGAACCCGAAGCCGGTAGCGATGTTGCTGGTATCACGACTACGGCAGTCAAAAGCCACTGTGGTCGATTCTATATTGTCAACGGAACCAAGAAATGGTATGTCGAACACATTCAATCTTTGTAGTATCTCACTAACCCACAAACAGGATCACAAACGGCCTCTGGTCACACTATGCAACCACAGCCGTGCGTACGGGTGGACCTGGACCCGGGGGGTTGTCCCTACTGGTTGTCCCTCTCCTAGACCATCCGGGCGTTTCCATGCGCCGGCTGAAGACCACTGGTGGAAGTACGAGTGGATCGACATACATTGAGCTTGATGATGTAAAAGTCCCCGTGGAAAACTTGATTGGAGAGGCAAGTAGCTATAAAGGGGTCGTTTGCAACAATCACATCTAACATGTTTACAGGAAGGTGGAGGCATGAAGATGATTATGCGAAACTTCAACCATGAGAGACTTACCATTTGTTTGGGAAGTGCCAGAACAGCACGTGTCGCCATCTCCGCGGCCTTTGCATATGTCCTTAAGCGCGAAGCCTTTGGAAAGCCCCTCATGGACCAAGCCGTCGTCCGCCACCGTTTGGCCAAATGCGGTGCTGAAGTGGAAGAATTGTCCAGTTGGCTCGATGAGATTGTATATCTCATGTCGAAGCTGGATAAGCAACAGGCCAATCGCGAACTTGGCGGCGTATTGGCGCTAGCAAAGGCTAGATCTGGTGCTATTCTGGACGAATCCAGTCGATGTGCCGTGCTCCTCTTTGGCGGAAACGGCTTGACGCGGTCTGGTCAGGGCGAACTGGTGGAGAAGATTTATCGAGATATACCATCAGCCAGGATCCCAGGTGGTAGTGAGGACGTCATGTTTGATTTGGGCATTCGCCAACTGGTGAAGAATTACAGAGAGGACTTAAAACACGCGGCAGGCTCCAAGCTGTGAACCAATTTCATGCACGCCATGAAGCACACCCTAGCTGTATATAATGTCATTGATAAATAAATGCTACAAAACTTTCACAAATTCTCTAGCAATACAGCTATATGCATCAAACAGTTCCAAGACTGTGTAATACACAGCGGAGGAGGACAGTCTTCACTCAACAAAACAAAAGCATCTATTTCGATACGGACATCCCGCCTTCATGCGGCCATGTTTATCAAGACCGTCTTGGGTTCTGTAAAAAGACGCAGAGCATACTCTCCAAACTCCCTCCCAACACCACTTTGCTTCTTCCCACCAAACGGCACTTGCATATTTTGCACACTCACACAGTTGATGCCCACAACACCAGACTCAATGGCCGCCGAAACACGCAAGGCTCTAGCAATGTCCCTTGTAAAGACACCAGACGTCAAACCATACTCGGTGTCATTTGCCATGTCAATAACCTCGTCCTCTGTGTCAAATGTCTTGATGATGCTCACAGGGCCAAACACCTCATTTTTATAAATCTCCGAGTCGTTCTTGGGATTCAGAAACACGGTCGGCTCCATATAACATCCCGTGGTGCCCAGCCGAGCACCACCAACTACCAACTCAGCGTCGTTACGCGCCTTGTCAACCATGGCCGTTACTCGTGCAAGTTGGCCCTCGTCAACCAGTGGCCCAAACTTAACGCCTGGGTCCTGTGGATCACCGAAATCATTGGATGCAGCCTTCATTCGTTCCACATACTGCTGAATAAAGACGTCCGCTATTTCCCGTTGCACATATACACGGGATGCTGCCACGCAGAGCTGTCCGCTTCGTGTAAGAATGCCATTGACGGTCCATGTCAGGGCGTTGTCTAGGTTTGCATCAGCAAAGACAATCGCGGGGCTTTTACCGCCCAACTCCAGCGTTACGCGCTTCAAATTGGACCGTGCGGCTAATTCTTGGATCTTGCGACCGGTTGTGAGGGAGCCGGTGAAGCTGATTTTGCGAATCTTCATGTGCTCTGCTAACAAGGCGCCAGTTGAACCTGCACCCGTGATGACCTGGAATACGCCTGGCGGGAAACCAGCCTTTGCAAACAGAGGCGCAATGGCGAGAGATCCAAGTGGCGTCTTTTCACTGGGTTTGACAATGATGACGTTGCCCGTCGCCAGCGCGGGTGCTGTCTTGAGGAAGAGCGTTGCTAATGGTCCGTTGAATGGGTTGATGGCGGCGCATACGCCCAAGGGTTCATGGCGAACGAGTTTAACAAAGCCTAGTAAAAGAGGAAATGATCAACTGTTATATATCATAATATTTATCCACGTAGGGACCATACCGTCATCGGCGGGAAAGTAATCGCCCTTTTGCTTGTCGGTCCATCCTGCATAGTAGACGAGGCAGTTCTTGATATACGTGCGTTCGCGAACCGGCGCCAAAGACACAGGGATACCCGATGTTTGCGAATCAAGCGTCAATATCGGCGTTAACTCGTCATCTAGCAGGCTTGCCAGCTTCAGCAAGCACTCGGTTCGCTGCACGGCGGTAAACTTGCTCCATGGCCCGCGGAAGGCTGCTTCTGCAAATGCCACAGCAGCATCGACATCTTCAGCGCTGGCGATGGGAACATCAGCAGTGACAGTAGAGTTGTCCTTTGGGTTTCTGAGGGCATAGGTTTCGGTGCCCTTTGCAGCAACATACTCTCCATTTAGGTAGAGCTTGTTGAAGCCTTTGGGATCCAGCGCTGCAGCTGACATTTGCGTTTACTTCCAAGGTGCCGAATATACTGGTGTCGGACGAAATAGTTAGTTGAAGAGACCAAAACTACTGTGTATCTCGCCTTATAACCGAACATCAACCAGCACGCGCTAGCAACAAGACTATCCCACAAACAGAGGCGCCACACCCCGCGCTACCTCACTTACATCGCTTCTTCCGCACTATTTTTTGTAGTGAGAAAAACCCGAGGCCCGAGGCAACAAACCCTAGGAAAACGGTTGTATCGAGGCTAATTATTCTCTCTTTTCAATATAACAATACTCGAGAGCAAAAGAAAAAATAATATCCGTCGCGAAGAGTAGTGACATCACCAAACATCTTGCTACCGTGGCCGGGTTGCAGCTCCTGTTTGTCACCATCAACACCACCACCAACCCGCTGCTCCCCCTCTTTCCAAATCCTTGTAACAAACAAGATTCAAATCACCATGATGCAAGATACGATGAATTTGTGGGCGCTTGTTGAATGGGACAAGCCTCTTGAGAAAATCCAGCAGCCAAAGCCCGTCGCTACCGGCACACAGGTAGTTGTCAAGGTCACGCACGTTGGTGTGTGCCACTCTGATCTTCATTTTGCAGAGGGCTTCTATGATCTTGGCAAAGGCAACAAATTCCACGTCAAGGATCGCGGGGTTAAGCTTCCTGTAGCTTTGGGCCACGAGATCTTGGGCGAGGTAGCCATGCTAGGACCAGACACTGATGCAGCCTCTGCGCCCGCGGTGGGATCGGCTCAAATTGTATACCCATGGCTGGGCTGCGGCTCGTGCGTGCGATGCAAACACAGCTCGGATAACTTATGCGCCGCGCAAAAAGGATTGGGTACACTGCAAAACGGCGGGTTTGCTGAGTATGTGGTGGTGCCACACCCCAGATATCTCGTGGCCCTGGGTAACCTCGACCCGGCCGTGGCCTGCGCATACGGATGCTCCGGAATAACGTCGTTAAGTGCCGTCAGTAAGGTCCTTCCGCTTCCACCGGACGAGCCCATTTTGCTCGTTGGTGCAGGCGGCCTGGGTCTCACGGCTGTCTCGATGCTCAAAGCATTGGGCCATGACAACATCGTAGTCGCGGATATTAGCGACGAGAAACTTGCTTCGGCAACTGCGCTAGGAGCAGCCAAAGTAGTGAACACAGCGCTAAATGGTGGCTCCGGCGCTGCGGCAGCAGTTCAAGCCGCCATGGGTGTGCCTATTATTGCAGCCGTTGACTTTGTCAATAACTCAGCTACAGCGAGCATGATTAACACAATTGTAGCCAAGGGCGCCAAATGGGTACAGGTAGGAGCGATGGGAGGGAGCCTTGAGTTATCATTGGTAGCCAATGTCTTCAAGGGCCTGACGATATACTCCAACATCACGGGAACCCTAGAGGAGCTTGAGCAGGTGGTAAAGTTGGCGAACGATGGGAAACTTAACCCCATCCCGGTCGTGAAGATGCCTTGGGATCAGGTAAATGAGGCCATGGATCTGTTGAAATCCGGCAGAGCACAGGGCAGGATTATCCTTGTAAAATAACGTTATTAGAATCGTAAATATAAGAAATAAAAAGAATCAAAGATTGCTAGCATCCTAAACGGTGGTGTTTTAATTATATGCCAGTGTTGATAGAAGGTGTTGTGACTATTGTGACATTGGACGTGTGTTACTTTGCTGGAGGAGTGAAGGAATAGTTAAGTCACTGGAAGTGGCTAAGGAAAACACAGGAAAAGGAGTGAATACAGGATGTATTCGCTGTATTTAACTAGAGCAGTTCCGACCATGGAACTAGAAGAGAACAACGAACTTTTACCACAACCTCTCAACTTTTGATAACACGTGTTATTAATCCTTGAACCAACAGAAGGACTTGGAGAGAAAGATGTGTGCCCTATATGTATAAAACCAAAAGATTCGGCTCTTAACTATAGTGAAGCCAATAACGGTACACAGATATAGTAGAATTAGAATCCACTTCAAAAATTTCCTTTCTGGTTCCTCCACCAGAGCATTAAGTCTCTATTCTCCTTTGTACTCGCATACAAAATCATACAAAATCACTGTACATTAAAAGACCCCCAGTCTTTGATGGCCTCTTGACACGCAGTGATCCAGTTGTTTAGCCCGCCCATGTAGAGCAGAAACTCGCGCCGTTTGCCCGGTATATTGGCGCCCATATACCTAAAAGTGGATTGATTAGTTAGCGGAAAAGATACCTCTCGGGTTAAGGCTTACCAGGAATTTGTATGCGTAACCAGTGTCCTATCTGCTATCGCCAACACCAATTCACGCCATGCTTCTTCTTTGTCGACCTTGGCGTCAATTGTCACTTTCTTCTCGTTACGGAGGCGTACAAGGACATCTCGAACCCATTCACACTCCATTTCCAGGAATACAGGCCCATTGGACAAGGATGTAGGCGCTTGGGGACCATACAGCATAAACATGTTGGGGAAGCCATGGGTCATAATGCCGAGCAGCGTCGATACACCAGAGCTCCTATAAATAGTACGATGCTTATTAGCCGCAGAGTTCCTTCGTTGGTATTTTCTTTTTTAAATCACAACTTACCATTTATCGTGCAAATAGACATCATCCTCGCCCTTGATGTTCATCGTCATAAGACCACCCGTGACCGCGTCATACCCAGTGCAAATAGCAATAATGTCAAACTCTTCTTCTTGTCCGTCCTCAGTAACAATTCCAGTGGGGGTAATCCGCACGATAGGCGAGTTTGTAATGGCCACGTTATCCTGGTCTGCCATCTCATAGTAATCTTGTTCGAGACTCGGCCGCTTGGTGCCGATATAGTACGGCGGCTCCAGCGGTGCCAGGAGATCTCGCTTCTTTGGGTCCTTGATTCGTGGGCGTGTTTTTTGTACCCAAAAGTCATACGCTGCCCGATTGGCCTTCTTGTCGAAGCTGCCGTCACTGAAACCACCAAGGGACCAATTGAAACCACCTCGAGCCCAGCCTTCCTCCCACATTTCACGGCGTTTCTCATCTGTGACGTCGAATGTTGCCACGCCAGTATTGACAGCAGGTAGTCCAGAATATGTGGTTCGGCAGGCTGCAAAGGCGTGCTGATACACCGGTTTATAAGCATAGATTTCGTCGGGCGTGACAGTTCGCTGGCGCATGGGCAATGCGATATTCGGTGAGCGAATAAATTGAGTTACTTTGCGGCACACCTTGGCACCCTCCTGGACAACTTGGACACCTGTCGAACCGGCACCAATCACAGCAATCCGTTTGCCTGTGATATCAAGATCCTCTGGCCACAGTGACGAATGGTGGGCAGCGCCTTGGAAGGTCTCTAGGCCCTCGAACTTGGGTGTATACGGCTTGAATGAAGTTCCAGTGCCGCATACGAGATATCGTGCCCGGTAGATTTCTCCGCTTGCTGTGGTAACGACCCAGAGAGGATGGGCGTCTGCATCTTTCGCGAGCGTTGCACCAACGACCACCACGTTCAGCTTGATATCTTTGCTAAGATCCCAAACTTTGTCCACATGCTTGAAGAAGCTCAAAAGCTCGCTGGCGGCAGGAAATCTCTCCGTCCAGTTCCACGTAGACCACACCTTTGAATCACTGTAGCCGTAGAATGGCATCTCGACATCTACACGAGCGCCGGGATAGCGGTTCCACGCCCAAACACCGCCTATCTTGGGCGCCGCATCCACTAACTTGACCTCCAAGCCTGCATCGCGGAGGATCTTGAGCTGATAGAGTCCGCCAAAGCCCGCGCCGATGATGAGACAATCGAGTTCGGTGGGTGCGCTGCCCATCGTAGACTCTGGTTTTTGATTGAGTGGTGGACTATTCGTAGGTGCTTGTTGTTCTCGATGGTTCTTTTTCTTGAAGCTCCATGGGAATGGAGAGCATAGCCATGAACAACCCATTTTATTCAAGAAGAAAAAAACAAAAAGAGTCCGCGTTGATGTTAGCGCAGCACTTGCTCCCACGGCTTGGTGAGAGATACCGCTTCAAAGCTTCGGCCTCGGCGTCGTTTATGACGAGTGGGCGCATTGCGGATCCTCTTTCTCCTCACAACTGGAAGGCTGCAGGTTTACGGATCCTTCATGGAAATCACTGCAACGGATATTACTCAGTAAACGTCTTGGCTTAATACCCGAGGTATGCAGCCTCGGTAAGGATGGGGAGAGGAACAGGATGTCCACGAAGTTGGACGGCCAACAAAATTCTGGGGCGGAAATACAAAGTAAAGTGCATTTCGAAGAGGGGACGCTGTGTATTTTACCCGATACTTCACTTGTTGTTACTAGTAGCCGAACCGCATTGTCCTATGATGCGGGACGGCGTATGATGAACGCAGTGATGCTAGCGGGAACGCGCCCACCCTGAGGTACTAAATTTACTACCGTTAAGTTAGTGAAAACGGTGGACAATGGCGGATACGATCAAGGCTCCGTGTGGAACTGCATGATGGCTTGGGACTACAACAGTGCGAATCACACTAAAAGCCCTTGTACTTGTAAAACATTTGCAGCGGGAAAAAAAAGAAAAACAAGAGCACTCGCACACACAAGCACACACACCTGATGCGCCGAACCATCCACCAGAGCTTCGAGCGCAGAGATGTGCTCTTTGTCAACTCCAACAAACAGCCAGTCGGTTCAAATTCGATCCTTGGCGGTTGACCTCGGGTATCTTCATCATAGGCCAGCTGCCGGAAGAATGGAATCCGCAAGCAAGTAAACAGAAAAGGACCCGTCTGGGCCCCCGCCACATCGCCTGTGCATCCACGCTAACCCAAGTTTACCCCAGACTGCCGCCTTCTTTTTAGCGCCAACTCACTTACGGGAGACAACGTCCACGCATTTACTAATCGAGCCGTATCTGCACTGTAGTCTTACTGTAGCCTTTTCCAGCCTCCGTCCCGTCCCCCGTGCGGCTGTAATTAGCTGGCGTTGCTACCGTTGTTGCTACTGGCTGATTACACACACACGCAAACAGGGGCAGCTAGCTAAGTTACTGTAGCTGCTCATGTGTCTAGGGCGCACCAATGCCGCAGAACCTGGAATAAAAAGAAAGCCGAGGGCAGTTGACGCCTCCTCGCCCTAGCCGCGCCTCTCGTCTTTTGACATCGACGCACTGCGCTACCCTTGGCGATATTGTAATCACCCCAATCTGTCTGGTAGCTTGGTCACCGTACCGCTTCACTTATAAGACGCAGACGCAGACGCAGACGCATGGCCCTGGCCGACAATACACGGCGCCTGCTCTCCTTTCCCCCCGCCGCGCATGACACACTGTCTACTATCTGCCACCCAACCACTAGCCTATCTAAACAACCATCGCTCTCTCTAGAGTATTCGTCTAACTATCGGCCATGTCTGCCAAAGACGAGGTCATCACCGACGCACAAAATGCGCCCGCGCGGGAGTCCAACCCAAGCGATGGCGGCATGCCGGACCACCTCTCCTCGCTAGTATGTCTTCTCTCCTCCGCCCCACGATACTTGCATCTTTGTATCGATGGATCTTGCATCTTTTGCTAACACGACCCTTCTTCACTGGAAAATAGGAAAAGACCCATACCAACATTGATGTTGTCCGTACTACCCAGGACACACCGTATTCTGACATCCGCTTCATGGGCACCTATGCCGCCGCGCTGCTAGCATGTACTGGAGCCTTTGCCACCTATCTCATGCCTGTGACCGCGCTTTCCATTCTCAACACACCCCAGTACATTGGCCCCTCTGAAAACTCTACCTGGGTAGCGCTCTCCTGGACGTTGCTCAGCGCCGTGTCCTTTACGCTGCTAGGTCGTCTCAGCGACATCTTTGGCCGCCGGTGGTTCTTTGCTGGTTCAACTGGCGCAGCGGTCATTGGAAGTATCATTGGCGCCACGGCAACGCATATTGATACGCTAATTGCCGCATCTGTCTTCTGCGGCTTCGCATCTGCTGGCCAGCTGTCCATCAACTACACCATTGGCGAGCTTGTGCCTATTCGACATCGCTTTGCTGCCAACGGGCTCATCTTCCTGTTTACGCTTCCCACATCTGCGCTGAGTCCTTACATCGCGCGCCTCTTCATTGTACAGACCAGTGTCGGATGGCGTGGGATGTACTACCTTGGTATTGCAATCCATGGCGCCTCGTTTCTGCTCTGGGTCATCTTCTACCACCCTCCAAGATTTGATCACCTCCATCGCAATCGCAGTAAGACAGATGAGCTACGTGACATGGACTTTGGCGGCATATTCCTCTTCGTCGCTGGCTCTGTCCTCTTCTTGCTCGGTCTTTCCTGGGGCGGTCATTTATACCCGTGGGCATCTCCCGCAGTGCTGTGTACGCTGATTATTGGATTTTTGGTCCTTATTGCCTTTGTTCTATACGGTATGTTGTGCTTTGACGCATTAGTCTTGATACGTGGCTGACGTGCACCCCCTTTCAGAAATGTTTGTTCCTTTGCGACGACCACTTGTGCCCATTGCACTGTTCAACTATGGCTACAGTACATTGAACGTCTTGTCGGCAGTCGGTGGAATTGTGTACTATTCCATGTCTGGTAAGTTTGTGTTTAGACCAAATCATCCACCTATATACTTATGAAATTGGTTTTACCCCAGTTGTCTTCCCTGTCATGGTAGCGACTCTGTTTGAGACAGATCCAATCCGAGGTGGTCTAGTTTCTTGTGCCGTTGGCGGTGGTGTTTGTGCCGGACAGTTCTTTGGAAGCTGGCTAACCGTACCTGGCGGCCATCTAAAGTATAAGATGATCTTTGTCACCGCATCCATGACAGCCTTTCTCGCGGGTTTAGCTGGTGCTACAAATAGTGAGAGCACTGCCACAGCTTTAGCTGTCATGGCTGGTCTTATGGTTGGCTTACTTGAAGTGGCTGTGAGCACCGCAGTAACTATTGTGATTGATGACCAGTCTGAAATTGGTACCGCTGCTGGCGTCTTTGGGTCTATCCGAGCCGCTTCTGGTGTCTTGGCCAGTAAGGACATCCCCCTCGTAATGTTGAGACACAAGCTAACAGAATTTGGTAGCCGCCATCTATGTCTCTGTTCTGCAGAACAAGATCCAGTCGAACACAAAGTCTATACTGGTTCCTGCGCTGCTAAAGGCCGGCCTTCCAGTATCATCATTGACAGATTTTATTACAGCTCTCGCTGCTGGGGATACGGCCTCCCTTAGCAAAGTTCCAGGCGTTTCACCAACCATCCTACAGACTGCTCTCGGTAGTTTCAGGACAGTCTATGCTGTGTCTTTCAAGACAGTGTACCTGGCCACTATTGCATTTGGTGCCCTGAGCTTTATCGTGGCATTCTTCGTCCCGGACATTGATGACAAGCTATCTCGCGATGTCATTCGACGTCTTGGATCACAGGATGACGGGCATAGCTCCAAGAAAACAGTGGATGATGTACATTCACAGGATGGGCACTCGCCAGTTTAATAATTTGTCAAACTTTCTTTTTAGGCACGATCTTGGGAGTATAGCTTTTCTTCATCTTTTTCTCTTTGGACAGAACGCTTTGAGCGGATTTATACAAGCGTCCTTTATGATTAGCGTAATATGATTTTATTAAATACCATTCGTTTTTGTTGTGACTATTGTGACATTGGACGTGCGTTACTTTGCCAGAGAAGTGAAGGAATGATTAAGTCACTGGAAGTGACTAAGGAAGGAGAAAGAAGTGGAAGACACAGGAAAAGGAAGTGAATACAGGATGTATTCGGTATATTTAACTAGGGCAGTTCCGACCATGGAACTTGAAGAAAACAACGAACTTTTACCACAACCTCTCACCGTTTGATAACACGTGTTATTAATCCTTGAACCAACAGTTTTGGTTAGCAACATGATTCTAAAGAGTAACAGAAAATTACGCAAAAGAGACTTTGCTTGTGGTACTTTGGTAATACCAGGCTGCCTGTAGTCATTCTTTACAAAAATTGTCAAGCCCACGTCTCAATTGTCACTTTTGACATCACAAGCACTCTGGGTATGAGATTGGGCTGCTTGAAGCTGAGAATATGGCATTTGTCCGACAGAATACCAACATCCATGTTCCGCAAGTCTTTGCCGTTTACCGGCGGTGCGGAAACCCGAGCAAATACATTACCTATATTATTATGAAGAGACTCAAGGTCGAATCCCTCGATACTCTCTGGGATAGCCTCGGTACGGAGCAGCGACTTGATGCTAGTCGACAACTGAAGTATTCATCTGAATTGTTGCGCAGTCTACCTCATCAAGGTTATTTTGGAAGCCTTGGTAAGACTAAACTACGAGACTTGCTGATTGAAACAGATGATCCCGTTCCTTCAATGGATGGTCCCTTTGAGACAGAGAAGAAACTACTATAAGGTCTCATCGAGAAATATTTGGCAGAAGGGCCTGAAATGTTGCAGCAGAGAGCTTCATACTACCAACATGTTCTCCCATGAGTATTCAAAGGTGATAATAAAACTGTTTTCACACACGCAGACTTGCAGCTGAAAAATCTCATGCTCCAGTCAGATGTTCGCATTGCAATTATTGATTGGGCAGCATCCGGTTGGTATCCGCGTTATTGGGAGTATGCAGTTGCACTTTGCGCAAATGAGGGTTGAACCAACGATTAGATGTTGGCTAGTTTCTCGAAGAATTCACAATCCTTTCTGTCTAGATGAGTAGAGTACGGATGAAAAGACGGTATTAACTGTAGTTCGAATGGGTAAAGCATGCGTCTTTTTATACTAATATTTATACTACTTGGCTCTAATTCTCATGCTCATTTGCTCGTTATATTTGCGAGCTTAGGGAGGAGGACCACTCGTACGTGTGGCCCACTCACCTGGACTTCCCTTATATAACGCTATAGAGTAAAAGAAGGCAGCTCTTTACTCAAGGCACCACCCTGTAGATCCCAGACAGATCGTCTCGTTGCGGTTGACAAAAATAGTGCGACGCGGCTCTTGCTCAATCTCGCGCTTGCCACCGCCCAAGATCTTGCAGAATAAGGTAACCGGTCCAGTGTAAGAGTTGCCAGAATAGTCTGCAAAGGTAGTCGCCAACGCCACTTCGTCCTCGGGGCAGTGAGTAGACGAGGCAGGGTTCTTCTTGACGCGCACCTGGAGCAGTGTGTCGTGGCCATCATCGCGCTTGATGCCAAATGCTGCTAGCGCCAGGTACTCCTCGTGGAACTCGCGATCTTCGTGACAGATGCCCATTGGGTCACAGCTTCGGTGGGAAGTGCAGACGTAATTCTCCTGGTAGATAGCCTTGAGTCCATTGAGCATACCAAAGCTGGCTTGCGCTCCGGCGTAGCTATCGGCGTAATTGCCGGCCACGGTGACGCAGATGGAGTCGTTGCAGTAGTCGTCGACGCTGAGCCAGCCCTGACCGGAATCAGCACCGTTGAGAGCCTTGAAGAGTAGCTTGAGATATTCTTCCGTGCCCGCCTCCTTGCCGCACTTGTCAATTCCTGGTCGGTCGAATACGACATGGTGCGGATGGTGCGTAAACTCGGAGTGATTAGCTCGCACAACGAGAGGTAGTGCCCACCATACGATAGTAGCGAATGAAGCCTTCATTTTGCAAGAGACTTGACTATGTGTATGTGGATGTAGATGGTAGCTGTTGATGTTAGTCTATGTGCTAATGTCAGTGTGCATTGGGGGTTGAGTGCGGCATAATTACCTCGAATTGGGTGAATACAACACTTGAATTGAATAGTAGACCGGATATTGAGACTGTAGAGAACACTTTGAGTATTAATAGTGAGGATGACGGGGATAATACAGGGTTAAATATTCGTCCATACCTACAAGTCGTGTGCCTGTTTCTGTATATGCTGAGTGATAGCCCACGTATTAGCGGCGCTTGGCACAGCGCGTATTGGAGAGAAAAGGGTAGCTATGTAGCGCTCGTCTCTACAACTGAGCCGTGACCAAGGACCCCTTGGAAACGTGGAAAAAAATCTGCGAAACCAAGATTCCTTACGTATTTATCGATCTACATGAAAAAGATAGGCTTCCGGATCAGACCAAGTCCGCCAGAACCCCCCTTCCAGCGCAGCATTGCACCCCAATTCGCATACTGTTCAGGTTAAAGCTTTCGTTATTTCCTTCAACTCCGTTGTATTTTACTCTGGTGAAAATTATTGGTAATGTAATGTATGATCTAAGTGGCTTGACATGACCATGGATGTCGGGGATCTCGTAAACGTGAATTTTTTGGTCTTCGGCACAGCCCCAGTCCAGCGTTTTCATGTATTAACGTCTAGAGACTTTTCAAATTACAAGAAAATGTACTTATGCATAGTGAATATACCCTTAGATGCATGATCCCTTACCTAGAAACTCCCAAATAGATGTCTCAAGAATCGTATTGTTATTAGTTATGACCGCTCTGTATTGCCGGCAACACCTTGGCCTGCTATTAACTGCTAGTGTTACACTGGTTCACATGCTTGTCCACGAAGCTTTCGATGAAGTCTCTCTTTCCCAGCGATACGCCTTCCATCTTCAAAATCGCATAGACGATTGACACATGGAACAAAATTGTCGGCAATGCGGCAGCATGAGCGTACTGCATGCTAGTTATATTCACCACCCGGCCCGGACCCATTTGCGTTGGCGCCATATGTTGTGTTCGCGCCTCAATCAATTCTCGACTGACATGGAGATCGGACTCAACCTGATCGATTCGAGCAAACGCGTCCCTGTATGATGCTATGTTATCCTCAAACTCCGATTGATCATGCCCTGTCAATCTGACAACCAATTTCCGGGTCATGGCGGTGGCAATATGTATTTGGAAGCTTAGAGGCTTCATGTCTGGGCAGATCCGAACTGATAGCATCGATACTGAATTTGGATGCCCCTCGGCCAAACTCAATAAATGACGGAGGCACTTCATTGAAGCCTTTGCTGGCACGATTGCACCGTCGAAGAGAGAATATGCCATTTTCTGTTAGGATTTTAATGTGCGGTTAACAATGTAAAGCTATTTCATGATTTGCATTGACATCATATCACAGGTTTGGGTTTTCTGGAGTCCGGTCTAAACCCACCTCAGCCGCTCGTCTGCTGATCACTGTTGGTTACGAGACCAGCTGGGAATTTAGCACTCTGTGGCGTCGTTGGTAACCCATTTCACTTGCGGCGCGGCCGGGAGACAAGTTTCTACGTATTGGCGGCACTGTGTTGTCTGATACAAAAATGGCAATAGCTAACCCATTTATTATTTAAAGCTACTCAGGTGATAGCTCATTATACACCAACCATCCAATAGACTTCAAATATCATCCAAGTACGTGTGGAAACCTGGGATTCGGGCCAGCGACGAGAATATGTAGACGTTTCGTGCAATCAAGCACATGGCCGTGCTGACGTTCTTGGTCAGATGAAGCAATAATAATGCGCTAACCTAAATTACGGCAATGATTGAGGGATAAGCTTGATGGGGAATGACAACACACAAAACCGTCCTGATCTATAATATGTTCGGAACAGGCCTTGCGAGTCAGCGTTAGAGTGAGTCTCATCGTAGGTCCGTCCTCAAGTAACACTAAATGAGTAAGAGATCCGTAGATAGGATTAACAGCCATCGCCTTAACCTTAGACCGGCTATTCCCTCGTGGAATGGGCTAGGCTCGTGGAAGTTTCGCATAGCTATTTGTTGGTTCAAGGCTTAATAACACGTGTTATCGAAAGGTGAGAGGTTGTGGTAAAAGTTCGTTGTTCTCTTCTAGTTCAATGGTCGGAACTGCTCTAGTTAAATACAGCGAATACATCCTGTATTCACTTCCTTTTCCTATGTTATCCACTTCCAGTGACTTAACTGTTCCTTCACTCATCTGGTAAAGTGACATACGTCCAATGTCACAATAGTCACAACACTATTGATTGGGGATCTATGTAAGTTATATAAGAGGCCATTCCAGTCGAGCTAGAACAACCCTTTTTCGATTTCTTCTTCATATTCGGATACTCGTAGTAGTCGCTCAGCTAGTTGTCAATATACTCAGTTGAGACCGTTACACTTCGCTAGCTCAGCCAGTACATCGTTTGTTTCCTCCAGTTCGACCTCATGCACTAATGTCACGCTCCGTTGCAATCGCTGAAACGGCGATGTAAAGGGGATATAGCCTGGTTCACCCATGATAGCTCGATGTGGATCGTAAAGGTTGATGAATGTATCTCCTGCTGGCCAAGAATCGTCCACTGGCTCCTTGGGTGGCTGCGGGCCAAGCATCAGCAGCTTTCGTCCTTCAAAGCGTGGGATATCAATTGGCCAGCCACTGCTCGAGGCGATGAATGCCAGAGGAGGACTTCCTGTTGACCAGTCATGATTGCCAGCTTTGCATGTGTAGAATTGGAATGAACAAAAGGCAGTTTCCGTCTTGCAATGCTCTGTCTCACCCCGTAAGAAGGAGAGAACATCCGGTGCGTTTCTTGCGCCCTCAATACCTGCTTCTCGGATAAGAACATCGGATATTAATGCAAAAATGGCTCGATTGGTAACGAAACCGTCGACTCGAATGTGAAAAGATCGCCGAGCCGTTGGCAGCACAATGTGCCACGCCTCGTTAAATGCTCCCCAAAGAAGCATGCCGAGAAACTGACAATCAGACTGAACAACTGCTCGGAGGCTTCCTTGGAGTTCGTCATCCGCAAGAGCATTTTGTAGCAACTCTCTATCCCGTGTCAATATAACCACTGTCGGTATAATCCACATGTAGATTAAATGCAGGCTTATCCTTCCTGCTGGGTCCTGCTCGTCGTGTACATAGAATACACTTGCAGGGATACGCCGGCCATCCATTGAAGCAACAATCGTCTCGTCCTCGTCAAATTCCGCAGGCATGTGGGACCAAAGACCATCCGCGTAGCGCCGTGCAGCACGTAGAACCTGCGGCAGCTTCTCAAGAAGAATCTCAAGCTTTCGTGGCTCTGCGCCGGCGTCTATCAACTTGGACCCGATGTAGGCTATATTCGCCATGCGATTTGCGTCCTCAACATTATACCGAGAGAGATATCCAGCAAGGAGATCCAAGCCATCATTTAACTCTGTATCTGTGGCCTTGGGAATTGCATCCACAAGAGCTACACGGCGCCTGAGTGCTTCTTCAGCCTCCGCTACTTCGACAGCATGGACGTGGGGAAGCATCGCCTCACAAAAGTCCTTGGCAAGCTGAACGAACGACATTTTTGCTGGTGCTCTGTTATGGGTTATTCTTGTCGGGCCCGTCTTGTATAAATATGATAGAGTGGACGAAAACAATTGATTGGCCAGACGTGAAAGTCCAGTTAGGCGGAAGTGGTACATGAAATAGCGACTTGTTCAATTACTGGATTGGGAAACTCGTACAGGGTGTGGCTGTGTTGGGAGCATTTAACCGGGCTGTGGTGAAGCGAGCCTTAACTTATAGAAACTGTGCCCTTCGTCAAGAGCCACGACCGACTGACATTACAGAAATGCTGCTATGTAAACGCGAGCTCTTAAATTATGCTTAAATGCAAGTCAAGTACATACTGCAAAATGATCCCATAAACGGTATCTACCTAATGAAGTCCGTTTTCAAGATGTCTCCCCATCAACATATCGATACAGGGCCTTCCAGGCTAAAGCCACCACGGCGGCAGCAATAGTACACGATGCGGCAATCAATAACCCGTAGACATATCTAGGTGCATCTAAATTCCAATCAGTCATTTCAGGGGCATAACAAGATTTGAACCCTTTTTTGAAGGAAAAAGGAAAACGTACCTTGAGTTCGAAACAGCTGACTGCCGAGGAAACTGGCCACCTGGATGCTCATTACATATCCCGCCAGCGCAACTGGTCGTTTATAGTCTTCCATTTTGGCAGTTAACCAAGCAGCATTGATTGCTTGTGCAGAGCCCATGCCCATCTGTGTCCAAACCACACCGCCTAGACGACTGTCGTTAGCTACATATCAAATAATGACACTTGGCCTGATAATACCGTAAAGTGTCCACTTGTCAACACTTGAAGGGGCGAGGGCGAGCCATAATAGTCCAGCTGCACCAACCAAGTAGCCTACTGCAACATGCAGTCCACGTTCCTGGTGCTTGTCGCTACTGAAGGCCAAACAGATGGAAAATACCAGAGAACAGGCACTTCCCACTGAATTAAGCCCGTTGGCTTGTAGCGTGGTAAACCCAAGTGACTTGATTATCGATGGGGCATAGACATTGATGGGCGCAATCATAGTCATGGATAAGAATCCTGCGATGATGTGACCGTACAGGCGCCAGTCCTTGAACGTGTCCAGTACATGTGAAAGCAAAACAGGCTTTCCGTATTTTAACGATTTGGTTGGGTCGTCTCGAAGAACACGTGTGGTGAGAATAGCAGCCTGTTCGTCACTGAAGAAGCGCAATGACTTACCAAACAATACTCTAGCTTGGGTCGGTGAAGATGGGAGGTAGAAGTACGCGACGACTCCTAAGACACTGGTAATGATGCCTTCTGTTGTATTTTATCAGCATGAAGCGATTAGTAAACAATGAATGATAAAAATGACTTACCAATCAAAAACAACCATTGCCAGCCGTGCAGTCTCCCACGGCCACTCAAAGACAAAAGCCCAACCGCCAAAGGTCCTCCTAACATACCTGCAAAGGCATTTGATGCCCAGAAGATCGCATACCGCAGCCCTAGTTCCTTGTTCGTGTAGTATCGCGAAATGTAGAGCACAAATCCAGGAATGAAACCACCTTCAAGAGCCCCAACGAAGAAACGAGCTGCGTAGAGCCCAGTTGCGCTCTTAAGAAATACCTGTGCCCATGTGACAGTTCCCCAGAGAAACATTGTCACTGGCAGAAATCTCTGTGGACCAATATATTTGCTAACCATGTTAAAGGGCAGCTCAGTAACGATAAAGCCCGCAGTGAAGAGCGTCTGGGAAAGGTTGACATCCGAGTTGGTGACGTGAATGTCGCGAGTCAAGTTATCGGTCAGGGCGTTTCCGATATTAGTTCGGTCAAATTGTAGAAAGCAAAAGCATATTACAATAAAAGGCAATAGTAGAATATCGACTTTCCAGACTGCGCGCGCCTCCTGGGCTGTAGTAAACTCGAGGTCCGCATTGTAGTCGGCATCGAGCGTGGACGGTGCTTGGCTTGAGTCTATCTTTTCGTCGATGTTATTCGCAATAGCAGTGTGAACTGATGCAGCTTTCGTCATCATGATGTTTCTTATATGTAGCATACCGATTGTTGGAACTGGGGCGCCACTGCTTCAGCACCTTTATACACGCTGTCACAAATGATGTGATTGACGCCCATAATTGCCATAATCTCAAGATTTCTTTATCAATTGCTATTAGTAATGGCGTGATAGGGGTTCTTTCAAGCGTAAATAGAAGTCGAATATTATATTGAGATTATTTTTTTACAGTTCAAGCTGGCGCGGTTCCGACGGTGTGGCGCATCGCGTGTTCGGCATCCCGGCGGCATCCCGGCGGGATGCCGAGCGTCAATCAGTAGACAGTTGTCAATATCAATATATCAATCGTTTAAATATGAAGCATTGACTATTATATATCTTTTGACTTTTTCAATATATAAATACCAAAATAAATCATTTATATAAAAGTGGCCATTACACAGACACAGTCGCTTGTTCACGCCAACGCACACATGGAACAAAACACGCTAAAGCGACGAGGCATTGGCCTTATTGGAGTAGATAAATCTATCTCATTCGGCGGATACACGCTGTTCTCCCCCTTGACCAGCAATAAAGCATACTTGGTCGACATTGACGGCACCCAAATCCACGAATGGAAGCTACCGGGGAGAGTTGGCCGCCACGCGCGTATTCTTCCCAATGGAAACCTTGCAGTCAACACACTACGCCCTCCAGATGTCAACCAGAATAAAATTTACCCATTTCCATTTTTCCACAAGTACGGGGGTGGCATCATGACAGAACTAGATCCCCAAGGAAACACGGTGCGCGAGTTTGTTGATCCGCTAGGTCACCACGACCAGTACCACTTCGGAGACGGACGCTTTCTATACGCTAGTCTAGAAGCATTGACACCTGAAGAATCCGCTAAGGTGGTTGGTGGTGTTCCTGGGTCTGAGGTGGACGGCATCACACACGCGGATGTTATCAAAGAAGTCGACGCTGACGGAAACCTTGTTTGGGAATGGAAAGTCTCTGAGAAGCTGCCCTACGACATATACCCGCTGCAACCTCACTACACCCGCGAGCACTATCCACTAATCAATTCCGTCTTACCACTTCGTGACGGGAAACATGTGCTTGCATCTCTGCGGTCCGTGTCCAGTGTTATTATTATTGAAAAAGAGACTGGCAACATTGTGTGGACGCTTGGTCCTGAGACTCTTGCCCAGCAGCACAATGCCACGGAGCTTGACAATGGCAATATTCTCATTTTCGATAATGGCGCATTTCGTGACGGCGAGTCCATCATGTATTCGCGTGCAATTGAAGTCGACCGTGCATCCAAGACTATCGTGTGGGAGTATCGTGATCGCTCGTCGCCTATTTGCTTCTTTACGCCGTTTATGGGTAGTGCGCAACGTCTGGGGAATGGAAACACGTTGCTTTGTGAGAGCGCATTTGGACGAGTGTTTGAAGTTACACTCGATGGGACGATTTGTTGGGAGTATGTTAATCCGCACTTTGCGGTGTATCCGGATGCGGAGACGGCAACCATTTTTCCTGGTGAATCAAACGCATTGTTTAGAGCGTATCGATACTCTGCCGATGAGATCCCCTGGCTAAAGCTTACAGCTAAGAAGTAGGAGGATATAGCTAGATATTCCAGGTAAATCCATTTTGATCAACAGGTAAATCTGACCAGAGGCTTATTCCGTCATATTCCGTGAACATTTCAAGGCCGAGAATGTCAAAGTCTATCGTAGAGTGTGATGTAGTGCTGCGCGAATTACTCGCGGACATGTGCATGCTCTGCATCTTAGCAAAACGGTAGGATATGACAGGCCAGAGAACACGAGCGATGTGACCAGCTGTGCCAATGGTTTCTAACCAGCCCAACAGTTTGATAATCAACTCTTCAACTGCTCCTGTATCAACGTTGTTTTCCTGTAGCTGAGTTTGGTAGCTTGGCAGGATATGACAGAGGACGAGAGCTGCAAAAGTAACAATATGGTAAACATGATCCGTTAGATACTGCGAGAGGCCATCCGTCGTGTCCACTATGACAGTGATTATATCCGTTGCTAAGGCTATCATGTCGATGAGAGTTGTAGGTTGGCTCTTCATCTGAGAGGACTGCAGCCATTGGTAGTGGGCGAAAAGGTATGTAAACTTGAATCCAAGTTGTAGGAATTGGGAGCGTGGCTCATCAAAGAGCTTTTTCCAGTCGCGCTGCCAAAGTTCAAGATGCCTGTCGATTTGGTGTATGTTACTGAGTGTTCGAGAGCAGCAGTGCTGGTAGTTGATCCAGTACAGCTGAACTTCTGCAACCATCCTCATTTCGTAGTTGTTGGATGGCTTCACATCTGAAGGCACTTTACACAAGCTGATATGCCTCTCTGTAAGCATAGTCTTTCTCTGAGTGCTCACGCAAATTCTGTAGGGTTTTGTCAGTCTGTATGCGAACAACCTAACCAAGAACAAGACGTACTGCAGGTGTGCAAGCACCAAGTGATTCCAAATACACCGATACTTGTACCGGTTGGTACTTGTGCCGCTGTAGGATTGATCATCTAGGCCGTGTAAAAAGGCAAATTCACTTGTAACGAGAGTTTGCTGCAGCGCATGGCTTGTCAAGACCCAGCTGTCAATCTTCATGGGTACTCTTCCTGCAGAAGTCGACCAGAGACTTAGAATAATGATTGCCTGGTAAAATTCCAAGTTTTGGGGGACTATTAGTAACTGCAAACCAAGCAGCTTCTTAACCTCCCTCAGCAATTTTTCGGCTTGTTGCTCACGCTGACCTTCCGTATGCCTAATGGCGATCAGCAACACACTGGTTAAGAGCAAGGGCGATCGTCGGAACGCCGTCATTGCAGATTCAATATTAGTCTCTTGCGAAACTAAGATCCACCGACCATAATTGCGAATAAACCTACCAGTGTTAGCCATGTGTTTAGTTGATCAAGATTGGCTCGTGTTACGTACAATGTGATCAACTCGTGAGCAGATTCAAAAGGCACTAGTCCACTAGATATCACGTCTTGCGATTCTTCGGAATCCTTAATGTCCAATTTTTCTTGACTATAAATTCCAGAGTCAATCGAAGCGTCACGAATGAGAATGACAGGCGCTGGAGGAGGACATAGTGAGGCAACACTAGACGGTGGCGTGTGCTGTGAATCTTTGGTAGGGCCCATAGTTTGACCTTGATTGGCCAATATGGTATCAAGACGAGTGGTCAAAGATAGAACCATCGTCTCTAAAGATGCAAGCCTACAGATAAACTTGTTAGCAAAGTGACATATACATCTACTAGAACGTACCTCGAGGCGACATCATGATTTCGGTCACCTTTTGGCTCATTTGTTTCATTCTCAACGACTTTATTGTCAATTAGTGTAGAAGAAATAAAACCATCGTCTTTGTTGAATGAGCAGCTGAGCGCCAAGGTGTGGCATCGCAGACAGGACTTGGTGCCATTAGCATCTGTATAGCACCGCGTCTTGCCACGCCGACAGGTTGTGCAGGCTCTGGAAGCCCTGCCGTTGCGCAGAGCAGGCATTTCAAGTAATTAAGAAGATAAACTATTACAATTGTGTCAAAATACAGTTCTGTCAAGACATCCAAGTGGACGGGGGCAGCGTAGTAGCGTGCCGTTGATAGACAATTGCGTGATCGACGGTGGCGTCTCCAGGTCATTGGAAGTCATAAGCCTGTGAAATAGCCGCTGACTACTCTAGACTAAGCGACAGGTTACATTAATATTCTATTAAAATTAAATAAGAAAATATAGTGAGAGATGCACCCGGCTGAGCAATACGTTGATGATGAGGGCCACTTTATGAAATCCCCAGCAGTAACTGCGACATGGATACTTATGGGCGCAGAAGAGACTACCGATGATGAAACGATAGATCAACATGGACTGATCCGTAAATTTAAATAAAAATTTGAGTTATATAAAAACCAAAATCCAACGTGATAAAGAGTGTTTTTGAACTCGTGCGAGGTGTTCAAAGCCTTGTTGTCCAAGTATAATAAACCCATCCGTGAACGGCAACCTCGTTGTGGTCATTCCACTCACCCTCACCATTATCCAAGTTTTCGTTGAATGTTTCGATGAATGCGTCTCTTTCTCTACCTTCCAACACGGAAACTTGGCTCATAGTGTTTATCCTACTCCAAAGGACCTCACGTGTAAAATTTGAACTAAACGGTAGTCTGTTTGTGCCTGTTGTGACTATTGTGACATTGGACGTGCGTTACTTTGCCAGAGAAGTGAAGGAATGATTAAGTCACTGGAAGTGACCAAGGAAGGAGAAAGAAGTGGAAGACACAGGAAAAGGAAGTGAATACAGGATGTATTCGGTATATTTAACTAGAGCAGTTCCGACCATGGAACTTGAAGAGAACAACGAACTTTTACCACAACCTCTCACCTTTTGATAACACGTGTTATTAATCCTTGAACCAACAGTGCTAAATGGCGTTGTAAACAGGGCTTGTGCGCCGGGCTGATCAAAGACTTCGTACCAGAGGTTGTCTTTGAATCGCCCAGGCCCCGTTGTTGGTAGTCGGATTAGCTGCTGGTTGACGTTTTCTTCCCACGTGTACTTTGTTGTCCAGTCTGGTGGCTGATTGTCTGCCACATGGCGTATTAGTCAGTTACTTGCAACCGGTACAGTTGACTACACGTACAATCCTCAATGTTCCAAATCATGCCAATTTTCCCTTCAGGTTTCAACACGCGATGTATTTCAGTCAACGCTTCTTCATTCGTGAACCTATGAGATACAGTTAGCCCGGCCGTACACTACGTACCAGCACTATCAATACAAACCGGTGGAAAGCCTGCGGTTATATTAGCCACATTCGTGTTTCAACTAAACTTTCTAATATACGTACTTGCGCAATTATAACTGCATAAGCCCAGCCGGAAAGAACATCCATCTTAGCAGCGTTTCCCTCGCTGGCCTGCACACGTGGAAGCCTTTATGCGGCCAGCGGCGCCCTCATAGCCTCCAACGGCTCGACCGCCTTGATTTCATACCGTTCAGGCCTCAACGACAAAAGCTCAGTAAATTTTCCGGTCCCAGCGGCAAGGTCAATTATCTTGGCTCCATCTTGATTGGCTATGCTGACTTTGTCAAGCAGATCGTCCACCGCCTCTGGAATGTAAGATGGGCGGAACGCGTCATAAGCTGACCCGTTGATGAAACCTGTCGCGGCGTCTAGAAATTAGTATAAAATCAGTATAATAAAAGGAAGTACCTGCTCAATGTTATTCAGGACAGTTGAACCAGATTTCGGCGCATTGCGGCGGACTGTAGTATTAAACAGGGAGAATCACGAAATGCTAGGGCCGATATTCCCGAGCACTAGCCGGTCCACATGGGTTAGCTCTGACAGCTGAGCCATTAGCGCGGATGCTGGTGGGCGGTCGTATATCGATAGCCAATGATGTAGAAAGTATTTGAAACAGTATTAGACTAACGTTATTGGCTATTAGTGACACTCAGAGTTCTCCTGCCTCAAACTTTGTGCATGTTATGAGCATATGGCATTTAATATGCAAATAGAAGCTACCTAGCTGTATACCAGACACCGCACGACAGTATGATATATTCTATTACCAAGAGTAATAATGGGGCAATTAGCTCAGCTAGAAAGAGCGTAGAAAATACCATTGCCAATGTCAATAATACCATGTTGACATTATTTTGAAGCACTTTTGGATCGGCCGTAACGGGGGTGGAAACCAAGAGCATGCCTAAGATGTTGATGGACACCATGTTTGTAAAGAGCCGCAATGCACTTTTGACCGTCTGGTAGCGTTTGAAGGCCAAAATCATTTGCTTGATAATGACAACGGTACTATAGGCCACGATGGTATTGAAGGTGAAAGGTTGTGGCCAGAAGGAGTAGCAGACGTACGTAAAAACGGCCACAGCTATGCAAACCAGCAGTAGTTTGGGAAAACGTGGTTCCGCAAAACTCTTGTCAGATTCCGGCTCGCGTATCTGTTTGGACGATAAACGATAGTCTTCATAAACGGCGAGAATCGCTTCCATGTCGTCCTTCAAGAGACTAATCAGCTGATCTGCCGGTCGCCCTAGGCGGTAAGTACTGGTGAATTTGACGTATCTTTCAATGCGTACTTTAATTGGTACTTGATCCCAGGTCAGATCACCATCAATAGATTGTGACCCTATTGTTATAAAGTCCTCCAGTGACAAAAGTTCCCATGCAATCTCCTTGTCAGCTTCAGCCCAGTTGATGCCTTCTTGTGAGGTGGTGTTCTGACGGTGCAAACGCATTTGCCGCCTTACCAAGAGTCTCAGTGTATAGTCCCGAACTGTAATAGCAAATTGTACGCCTATCTGCCAGCTCAGCGACAACACCAGCATCATCGTCCGGAACCATACTTCGCTGTGCACCAAACGTAGAGACGGTATTACAGCAGCAAGGGCATAGACAGTATTGCCAACAAAGGCGCCTAGTAGCCGTTCTAAACTCCATGTGAACAACAATAAGAATGGGTGATATGGATACATCCAGAGGAAGAAGAGCTGAAACAAAGTAACGACTCGTCCTCCGATGGACCGTTGGTTATAGGATCTCTCGCCCAAAAACCCCGCAGCAATGTCGGGGTATACTGCACAGAACGCGAGGAAAACAAAGAATATGTTGACTCCAACCCGCTCTGTTCGGCTAACAGCATTAGCAAAGCCTAGTCTCCAGATCTGGAAGACCTTGCGGATGCTATTCAGGGCTCTTGATAGACTAGCGCGTCCATGAGGGGTATGATACGCGCGAGCTTTGAGAATATTGAGTTTCTCTTCAATATGAATCGCATTCAATGACGCAAGAGTGTTTCGAAGACCCTCCGGGATGCACTCCCAAGTCTCTTCAGGCGCGAGCTGCATCATTTCACCCGCTTTCGCTTTGTTTGGGAGATCGCTGTCAATCTCTGCATGTTGTTGCTCCTTATTGTCTTTAATGTGGTTTTGATGGAGGAATCGTTTCAGAACCAGTCGTCGAATATATTCTTCATCCAATGACATGGTATCCAACTGTATATCTGGGAAGCATGAGAGGATGTTCTCTCGCAGTGATTGTTTATCGACACCAAATTTCCAAATCTTGGCATACTGTATGTCTGTATCTCGGTTTCGATTTTTATAAGGCACAGACCACTTCCAAATAAATATGAAAGGGTTGGAAGTTGTTGTAACTATAAGTTTAATATTGAACATTGTGTCGCGGTGGGCACCAAGTGAATTTTCGTACAATGGCCAGGAGCGAGTGGTTGCGTCTTAAACTATCTGGATCAGCAGCGTTAGCCATCACAACCCTGAAAGAAACGTTATGGTACTGGTGCAAAATAGTACTTATTACAGATAACTCAAGCCGATTTGAATTTGCTTCCTCTTCGTTTTGCATCAGAGCAAGGCGCAATCAGTGAAGGCGGGATGGTACCTCTCAGCTGTTTCACGTGTCGCAAGAACCTAGCATATATAGCGGACCATCAGATATTATCTGAGCTAGATACGGAGGATACTGTCTAACAACTTACTCTGGTCGTCGGACACTTTTCCGTCAGATATCCGAGGCTCTACACCGAGTTACGGTAACAACTTGCATGTCGTCGAGCCAGTGCTACTGACCAATCAGGGCCCACTCAGTGGCTATGCGAAGCCCCAATCAGGAAGTAGACCATCACACTCCGCAGTCACTATTACTACCGAACTATCGGACAGGGCGTCACGCTATCTCCATAGGGCAGAAACGGGAATAGAAACGGGTAAGATCATGGCGAAAGAGGAGAAGCGGTAATTCCTTTTCGGGAAATAAAAAACGGAAGCGAGGGAGGGTATCTCGGAAAGATCGAAGCCTTGCGCCTTGATTTGTCACGCCGACGAGTACACCTAAACCGTCATAACACACATGGACGGAAAGTAGATGCAATATGACATTATTTTCAATTCGAATTACGAAATAAGAGAATTTGAAGGAAGTGGATAGAGAATTTAGAGCATGAGAAAAGTATATAAGCCAGTATGGCTGACCGTGAAATTTCACTTGAAGTTCGAAACAACAGCAGCAAACACTGGGCAGCTCTTTTTATACCTACGTCCACTCCCATTTGCCATACAACATTGAACAACGAAAGCCCCAATCAATACAAAACAAAAAAAAAACTCCCAAAATGCACGAGGAATACTCTTTGCAGCCACGCATTTCGGTCGTCGGCGCTGGACATGTTGGCTGTGCTCTAGCTTTCGACCTCGCTGAGCGTGGCTATGACGTTACTATTCGAACACTACCTGGCCATGACGGATATTCTTCTCAGGTATCAGCCAATGGTGGAATGCTAACTGCTAATGGTGCCCTTAGTGGCTGTGTTCATGTTGGCGTCGGTGATGGCTTCTCAGAGTTGTCGGAGAGGTACATGTTTATCACTGTCCCGTCTCAGGGTCACGATGCAGTATTGATGGAGCTATCCACTATCGATCTCCTTCATTGCACAATTATCTTTATCAACGGAAATGGAATAGGTCTAAAGGCTAGCAAATACCTAAACGCAAGGCGAATCATGGATACGGCGACGTCCCCCTACAGCTCTCGTGTCAACGCCGATGGGACCATCAGTATCCGCGGAATCAAGGCTAAGGTGCAGCTAGCTGCTCTACCTTTAGTCACGGAAAGAAGAGAGAGGGATGAAATTGACAGTCTTTTCCGTATGCCCCTTACCTGGAGTTCAAACCTCCTTGAGATTTTCTTCACTGGCTTGAACGGCGTCATTCATGCCCCAGCAGCGCTCATGAATTTTGGATGGATTGAATCGACCAAAGGCGACTTTTATTTTTATAAACAAGGTATGAGTCCCGGAGTGTGTAGCATTATCGAAGCTGCCGACCGTGAACGACTTGCTGTTGCAGCCGCGTACGGATGTCCTGTCGATTCTGCATTGACTACATTTAACCGCAACTATTGCACGAACGCTGCATCGCTCCACGAATTTGCAAGCATAACAGTGGCTCACAACAAAACCAAGGGGGTTCAAACGAGATTTCTAGACCAGGATGTCCCATATTGGCTTGTCTTTTGCTCGGAACTGGGTAGACAAGCCAGCGTCCCTACACCATTCCTCGATCTTATTATTCTCTTGGCTTCTACAATTCGTGGGGTCCCATTTAGAATTGTTGGTCGAACACTAAAGTCGATGGGTTTACAGGGATTGTCTCATGAGTCAATCTACAACGTATTTCAAGGGACAGTTCTTGTTTAATGGCTGTCTCTGTGTTAGAAAATGTCATGTGCAGCGAGGGAAAGGTAGTGTGAATAACGCGAGAGACTGTTTGATTAATATGAAGGGTAACATAGGCAGTAGTGTTGAGCTACTGGATGGGCTAACGTGGTTCACGGGCGAGTGGGCCACCTTCCTCGACCTTCATGTATAAAAACATATACAACATAGCTAAATAACACTTAAAATAAGAAGTTTAATCTGAACTATCTGAAGAAATGGTTTCCACTTCATTTTCACATGTTCTGGAATTATGGCCTATTTCGCCGCATTTTCCACAACGCCGTGTTTCCACCCTCTTCCGTTGACCTGTACTTTCAACTTCGTCGCGTTCTCTTTTTACCCTAGAAGAGGTTTAAGAAACTAGATTTTTGCCAGAATCTACTGTGAGTGTTCCTCCACTCTGTAATTGTGTTTTGGTGACGCGTTTCCGGTGTGAGAGTCGGTTGTTAGCCTCTCGAAGCTGTTGGGTTTCATCCTCCATTAATGCTGTCTGTCGCATAACCTTTGTTGTACTCTTCGCCATTTGATTAAGACTTTCAATAATTTCGGCTGGGGAGCTGCTCCTATGGTGTCAGATTCTTTTTTCAATATATTCTGTTTGCGATAGAGCTTCGGTTGCGTTGCTAGGTGTTTTGGGAAGCCAAGGTAGCTCAAGTGCATCTGATGACCCAGTAGGCGAAGGCGTTGAGAACTTCACGTCCAATTGTAAAATCATATATTCTGGATTGAAAGAAACAAGCCCAGCTCCTCTGAAACCTCCTAGAATATTTGATTCAGTCATAGCAGCCTTGTGTGCTGCGTAAAGTGCTGGAAGAATTCTTCCTTGGTAATGTGGGTGACGCGAGCGCGCCTAACATCACTAATAACATCGCCAGATGCTCGTTTAAGAGATCCAGAACAGGCAACATCTAGCGGCTGGGGTTTATGCAATGAATAGGTTAGCACACATAATATAATAATGTTATTTTGCAGGCAATATACTTAAAAATCGAAGAATTGGTGGCTTTCATATCTATCGAATATTAGAAGCCGTTTTGTAGATTCTTTTCCCAAGATATGTATGTTTGTTGAAATGTTCCAGCCATTCTAAACTCTTCTCATTTATAGTCCAACCATTTTGAGTAACACTGATCGTCCAATTGTTGCGCAATGGGCTGTCTTCATACCAAGATGAGAGGTGGGTTTTGCCCGCAACTATCACGAAAGGCGGAATCACATAGCCATCTGTGCTAATACATTCAATCAAAGTCGCCCATTATTTATTTCCCGGCTGTGCTTTGCGCCCCTTTTGAGATCTTTGTGAGCTTGTTACAATCTGATGAAATCACACCCATTGCAAAGCCGGTCTCATCAAAGTTATAAATATCCGCTTCATGTATGCCATGTTTCGTGATTGTATTATTCACAAGAACAAACCAGGCTCGATATTTATCTAGATCTTCGCATTGAACTGTTTGATAGTCAATTGGCCGTGATAAACGCATAACAACTTCGGGGTGTCGTCTATAAAGCTTGCAACCCAGTTCCGTCCAACTAGAATGTCGTGACGTAGCTGCAATAAGCGATTAGCCATAGCTTCAACGTCACGAAAGCGAGGAGGCTGAGCTCGGGAATCAAGATCAAGGATATATTAGATTATAGTATTGTCTTCTTCATCTGACAATTTTCGGCAATTTGGAGTCGTATCGGCTCGATTAGCAATTTTAGTACGACGGCGTTCGAATGTCGATCGAGAGACGTTGTAGATTCGTGCAGCTTGTCGAATGAAGAGATTAGAGTCTTTTTCGATAGTCTGAAGAGCTGAGACTACATCAGCTTCATTTGATTATTTCGAACCATGATGTGTTGTTTGTTAAAGGTTTTAATTCAGTCAATTAAAGAGTGCCGCGGGGTGGCCCACTTACCCGTGAACCACGTTATGTGATAAATAGTATATGGGAGCTTATTTGGAAACGCTTCGTTGTTGAGATATGGGCGTTGGAAGGGGCGGCTGGCGGCGGGGGGCTGCTGCTTAGGTAGTTGCGCGGCTGTACAGCGGGTTTCAGCGCCCAACCGGTACGCTACAGCGCTCTACGTATGGCTGGTTTACAGCGCCGCCCAACTGTTTTACAGCTACCTGACAGCTACCCTGTAGTAAACAACAGAAATAGCAGTATCTCAACAAAACGTCTATATTGTGTATATATAGTTTCCATACAATACTAAAATTATTCTCCATCGATTGAGCCTATTTTGAATGGGTTTCCGGCCTCGAAGCGGGCTGGATAACTTTTTGTTGTTTGGGTTGCACTTGAATCTGAGCGACGGCCAAAAGTCGTATGGTCCCACCATACAACCTCGACCAACCCAAATCAATACACTAAAGAGACGTATAATCACGTAATAAAAATAGCAATAAATTACACAATAAATACCATCCAGTATATATACAGTCTATTCTAGATACTAAACACTAAACACTACTTACAATTTATATCCATCCCTACAAATCGCTCACCAACTATTTTGCACAATCTTT